AATACCGGTACCATACATAATCATTGTCACGTGAGTACCTGTGATCTACATAGATTTGTGGCGCATCAAACCCACAGATCCACCCCTAGCCCTCATCTGTTGAGCTTGAGCAGGCGGAGGAAGATAATTGTGTTTGTAGGGCACCACACAAAGTGCTCTCCAGACCAAACCATCACCAGGGATAGGGATACATTCAAACTTACAGAGACGCTCCGTTTCCAGCGCGACGAACACCTCGTGAACACCAGATAGCAGCGTGAGTCAATGTCGCCCATGGTGGTGCCGAACTAACGCTGAGGACCGTTACGTTGTTGCCTCCAAACTAAACCATCTAATTCGCTAGCCGGCGCTGGGGACATCAGGCGCGTGCGCCGGTGCCGTTCAAGGGGGGTTTCCGGGGGACCTCCCCGGGAAATTTTTCAAAAAATGAAGCAAAATCCTGCATTTTGAGCGAAAAAACGGGGGGTTCCGGGCACCCATACGGGGCACGCGCCTGGACATAACATCAGTGGGAAGAAGAGGTTGGTGCGACTTCGGCGATACTTTTACCAGAGAATGGTGTGTTACTCCCTGCGTAACGTTAGTTTGGTATGTACGGGCTTCTAATCATTATTTTGCTCAAATCAGTCTGCACCACTGCCAGGGAGTCGTCAACTGTTACTTGACGACTCCCTGGTCTGCACCACGAAAATAAAGTATTAAGTACCTCTGTGTATGAAAACACAAAAGAGAAAAAAAAAGAAGGCACTACATGTATATGCAGAGAGAGTGTGGCGAGTTGAGCATGCCACTTTTGTTCCAGTTGTGATGCTTGCGAGTGGAGGAATGGGAAAGGCAGCAACAACCGTCTACATGTACATATACAAGCGAGTGGCCTCCCCATTAGCAGCCAAGAAAGGGTGATGTGACGTGATGTCTTTTCATCAGGGCAAGATATCATTCTCCCTCTTGTGGTCCTGCATCATGTGCCTTCGTGGATGCAGAAGGCCTTTAGCCAGTCATCTGTATTGTATTTTGTATTTTCAATGATTGTATATTTTTTAAGGATTACCCAGAGGCTCTAGGCCTGTCAAGGGAATCTCCTACTCACAGACGTTATAGTATTCAGGAAAGCCACAGAATACAAAGAAGAGAAGAAGACACAGCAAACTCTCTCTCTCTCTCTCTCTCTCTCTCTCTCCCTCCCTTCCTCCCTCCCTCCCTCCCTCTCTCTCTCTCTCTCTCTCTCTCTCTCTCTCTCTCTCTCTCTCTCTCTCTCTCTCTCTCTCTCTCTCTCTCTTTCTCTTCTCTCTCTCTCTCTCTCTCTCTCTCTCTCTCTCTCTCTCTCTCTCTCTCCCCATCCTTCTCTGGCTCTCACTCTTTCAAACAGTCTCTCTTCTCTCCCCCATGGTGCGTAATGTGCGCCTTGATCCCGAGACCATTGGCATTGGTCGGGGGAGCGCACTTCGCCTCATCTGCACAGCTTTTATACTAATTATAGCACCTAGTGGTCTGCATTCGCCACTAATGTGTAAAGGCATAGTGGTGGCCTGCGGAAGCGAAGGCTATAGCTTGTGTGTTTCTGAACATTCAAGTGATGCTAACGCGGATCCCGCGAATATTATTATTATTATTATAAATTATAGCACCTAGTGACCTACATTACACGCCCTTCGTAGTCTCCTAGCCCTATGTTCTCTTGCTGCACTGTTGTTGTTGTTGTTTTTGTTGTTGTTGTTGTTGTTGTTGTTGTTGTTGTTGTTGTTGTTGTTGTTGTTGTTGTTGTTGTTGTTGTTGTTGTTGTTGTTGTTGTTGTTGTTGTTGTTGTTGTTGTTGTTGTTGTTGTTGTTGTTGTTGTTGTTGTTGTTGTTGTTGTTGTTGTTGTTCTTGTTGTTGTTGCTGTTCTCTTCCATTCTATGTAGTGTAGGCATGTGCACTTTCTTAAAAAAATACATGTACAATGTACATGTACATAACAAGTGCGTAAATGCAAGGACAGGTGTTGGGATACCATCATGATAATTACGACTGTCACTGTTGTGAGTGTATGGGCGAAAAATGCAGGAAGAGGGAACGTTTGAATTCGTGGAGACAGGTCATAGTCTAGTCATTAGACATACATGTACATGTACATGTACATGTAGAAGAGAGAGATGGGGGGTAAACAGACTTTCTCTGTGCATTGGCTGTGGGTGATACCTCTGCTGCGCTAGCGATGGCAGAAGCCCAGTCGTGATAGTGCATGAGTGGCATCGTTATTTGACTGGATTTAATACCGTATTAAACTTGCTGCTGTTTACCCTAGTAGTAGTAGTAGTACTAGTAGTACATGTAGGTCTGTAGATATACAGAATAATTATTATGCTGTTTGGCTTTATTTTTAGAACTTACTTTGAAAAGAACTCTTCCTCTCCTCTCCTCCATGCGCTCTCACAGCCGACTCACTGCTACCCTCGGTAGCCATTACACACACCAACAGCCATAGAAGGAAGGGTTGCAGGTAGATACTGAAATTCCTCCTGACAGCTGTTTCGCCTTCATAAGGCTCATCAGAGGTGATATTGAATAGGATGATATCAGCTGGAGATGGTCAGATTTATACTACAAAACCTGCCATTTTCTTGGAACCCTTGGCACTGCGTTGCTGGAGAGGTTAGCAGCTTGTGATCGGATTTCTCACCTGCCATTTTCTTGGAACCCCGGCCCTGGCACTGTGTTGCTGGAGAATTGTAACTTCTCATTCTCACACTTTGCCCGTGATCTTGCGCCCATGTTTTGTAGTATAAATCTGACCATCTCCACCTGATATCATCCTATTCAATATCACCTTTTCTGATGAGCCTTATGAAGGCGAAACAGCTGTCAGGAGGAATTTCAGTATCTACCTGCAACCCTTCCTTCTATGGCTGTTGGTGTGTGTAATGGCTACCGAGGGTAGCAGTGAGTCTGCTGTGAGAGCGCATGGAGGAGAGGAGAGGAAGAGTTCTTTACAATTTATTGGCCGAATAGTACCGTTCACCATCTGAAACAAACTTACTTTGAGTTGACATTTTGTGGAACACTTGGGAAAAATAATCATTGACACGTACATTGTACATGCACATGTGCATGACGAGAGTGGATTGGCAATTACCATGATCATCACCCACTCTCTTCACATAATCATTGGCGGGTGTTTCCACGGCGGGGGGGGGGTACGGCCCGGGTCTTGAGATGTAATAAAATAATATAAACAAGGGTAATAAAAAATAAACAAAAAAATGGTCATGGCATGCGTACGCGCGTAGACCCAGGTACTCGAAGTCCGTACACTTTTACAGTGTGTGTTTGTCGAGCTGAAACTCACACTAGCAATGATCACTTGCCAGAATCCTGCTCGTGGATGGAAGGTATCTTGTCCAAGTTTGTTCTGAGGCCAGGCTCGATTGAACCAGGCCATCTTTCGATCCGATCTGTTTCTCTGGAGTTCGCTGATTTTTCATATCAAATTTTTGTGTCGCGGAGGGTACTCTAAGTCCGTACTGATCAGAGGTGACTCGAAATACACACATATTTCTGCTAATTGCTAACTTGCAATCCCTCGGTTACGACGAAAGCACCGAAGGGATATGTTTGGCATGTGCCTCCACCAGTATTTCTTGCAAAAGCGTAGTTTGTTGCCGAACTGCAAGCTGTTTTAGTCGGCTCAGAGAAGAAGCAGCTGCGCTGTGAAAACCGCGGGAAAACAGTGGTGGAGATGCCAGGAGTGTCAACCTTTCTGCAAGAATTGGTGGTTCTCTGTAAATTCTTCTCCTCTGGCCATTGTCAGCTCTAAGCTGGCTCTTGATGATTGAGTGAAGGTCTGTTTGACGCTGTGTCCGTTCGAAATCGGTCTTGGCAAAGTTGATTTTTGCATGAAATGTAACCCAATTTGTATTTCGTATGGGCACTCGAAAACCCACTCGCGTGGTATGGGACTTCTGCTTATCGTAGATCCCTGAAAATTGCTACGCGAGGAGAACATACCACACTGTCCCCTCGATAAAATATTTGAGTCGAATACAATAACAGAACATGAAATTATGGGCGTACGAACTTAGGATACCATGTACGGACTTCGAGCACCTGGGTCTACGCGGCAGAGTCTTGACTAGTCGACTGTCGACATAATTATAATAATAATGTCGGCCATGTCTACAACATGGACAGTTAGTCAGTATGATGACTGGCTGTAGCATGCCATCACTCACACAATCGTCATCACCATGATCACGTCAAGTCATCATGCCATTTTTATCACTCATAATAATCAGGGTACCCGTACCCCCCCCCCCCCCCCCCCTGGCCCTGTCAGGCTTCGCGTATTTTTTTTACTCATAATTATCACATTCACAGTCGAAGCTGCGCTGCATGCTAGCTGCTTGCATGCATGGCCGTTACGTCGTGTGGGTGCTGCATGTGCGTGATGCGCGATGCGTGGGATGTCCACTACACAGTCATTACCATGATTACCGTCATATTGACTCATAATCAAAAACCCCTTCACGGCTTCAGAGTACAAGATCTGCGCCGTAGAGCTACCATGGTGCGCGCATGGCTGTACTCCATGGTACTCACAACTCAGATATGACGCTCGAGTCATGACATGAGTCTCAAGCCCGAGGCATCATCTACAGTAGCTCTACAAAAAAAGTACAATGTCAGCTAGCTTGGCTTTAGACTTAGTGTATGCTGGTGCATGCTCGCTCTTGCACACCGATGACAACACTGCAACATGCACAGTGCAGTGCAATGCAAGCGGGCCAAGCGCACACAACGGGAAAAAAAACGTCCATCACTACTGTGTAGTACTGACACTAGTCTGTGTAGATCTACCATGCATGGTGTACTGCCACTGCACTGGATCGAACGTCGTGCACGCGTAGCAAGCAGCTGTACAGTACAGTACTATACTGCATCTGAGTCACTGCACTAGTCAGTGCCACTGCCAGTATGTACGCATGCATTCCGTGTCATGCGCTGTTCATCCGACTTCAAAACAACCGAGTTCGCCTCGCTAGCGTACAGTTTGGACCTGCCTCGGCTCAGAGCAGAGGAAAAAGCGAGCATGAGCTCTCGCGTCAGTGGTGTGAAGACTAGCGACTCAACGAGAGTTGGTCTTCCGAGCAGAAAAAAAGGTTGCTGGTGTGTGTTTCCACGAGCTGACTAGTAGGCCGAGCGATCCGACTGCAGCGCTCCTTCCGTCGGGCTGCTGTGAAGCTGATCGAGTCGTTTCCTTTTCAAGGGTAAGCGAACCGACTCTCTCCTTGCTATCGCTCTCTTGAAGTTTCTTTATTGTTGCATCATTATCTATGCATGCGTGCAGTTGTCTGCCGTGCACTGGTTGTGGTTCTGCTGTACAATTCGTGAATCTGATCTTCGTTGTAAACTTTTCGCTCGGATTCATTGGGTGAGTATTTTCTACGGGTACAGGATCGTGGATTTGTATCGACGCCTTTGCAGCCATCAGCCACCTTCGCGGCTCTATTGTTGTTGCTCGGTGCGTACATATGCGGCCTAGCGCAGGTGAAATCCACATGCCGTCTAGCCGTCTTTTCGTTCATATTCGTACCTTTTGCTCGTGTCGCGCGCTCACGCAAGGCTTCTGTTTGTTTGAACCTCTGCGCACACTTGTGCGCGTGTGTGTATGTGCGCATCAGTGCGGCTGAAGACAGTAAAGGTTCACTCTGTGCTTGTGGCCCGTCTACATAGTTGCGTGTGCTTGATGACAGTAGGATCATAGCCTAGGATGTAGTCTGCGCCGTCTGTGTATGCGGAGTGTGGGCGACGCATGCATGCAGCTCACGTCCAGAGCTAGAGCTGGTAAGGCTATCACTTGACTTGAGTCTTGAGTCTTGGGCTGTCCTCACGCTGCTGTCAAGGAGTGTTTGCTTAGCTTGTCTTGAGTTCGAGTTGTTCTCGAAATTTTTTTCGGGGCTGTACGTAGAGTTTTAGGGAGGCATGGTTTGTGCTGCGCGAGGACTCCATGTAGGTTCCGTTTTCCTCTTCTCTCGCGCACGTCCTCCTGGCTTTTGATCTGCCTCTGCTCATGGGACGATCCACTACTAGCAGTTAGACTGCTACCAGGTTTGCAGTGCAGGATTGCCTAATGCTTTCCGCAGGCTCTGTTCAGTGCTGCAGATGTTCAGTCTTCAATGTTGACTCTTGCGGTGGTTGCATATCCATTGCAGCGGCGTAGCTTCTTGGCTTTAGACTAGTTCTCTAGTTTAGGTAGCTGGAGCCTGGAAAGGAGCTGTACTGTCCGGCCACATCGTTCTATGTTCACGCGTGTGCGTCTGCATGCGGATTGTGAAAAGAGACGGTCGTGTACAGGCCAGTGGATCTCCCGCCATGTCTAGTCCGAGCTCATGTCCCGAAGATTGAATCCACTTGCGGCAGTACATTGACATTGTGCTAGGCATACAAACTGCCTACTTACCCGCTTCAGCAGATGGACATCATATTCATGGTCATTCGAGAGGGAATTTTTTCGTTCAAAAACTTACCCGATGGCAACCTGTCACAAAAAAATAATTAGGGAATGGAGAGTTGGTCCAGGCCAGGGAGTAGATCTACGAGTCCTTCATCTTTTCCTTGCACGTAGATCTACGCCTGGACTGGACCATGGAGTATGAAAATGGCTGTATTGTTTGTACATAAATCTACATGACTGTTCTACTACTCTACTAGTACTAGTAGTAGTCTGTCATTGTGAGAGTGTTGCGACAGTTCGCGCCCATTCACTCACCAGCATGATCATGACAGACCAGGGAAGCGTGACGGTGAAGATAAGCTAAAGATCTACATCATCTGACTCCTAGTCCTAACCCGGTTCGAACGAAGTAATGTTCTCTGGTTTAGGGGCGGTGTGTGGAATTAGTCGTCCAGTGTAGTAGCCGCTTCAGCTTCGTCGAGATGGCTCAGCCGACCTGTCCGCAGGTGAGACTTCGCTTCTTTGGTGCTGCTGAATGTTCGGGCTGATCGGAAGAAGAGGGGAAGAATTGCTTTCCCGTAACCCCTGAAGATACTGCGCGTTCTGTGTGGTACTCATTTTAGCTATTTCGTACTCTGTGCACATGTGAGACTTACTCCGCGTGTTGTATGTAGCGATTACGATTAGGGGAGACGACGTTCGGGCGGCATGCTTTCTCAAGTATTCTGGCACGTACCCTTAGGCCTTACCAGTCGTCGTCTCTCTACTCTACATCTAGTGCCTTTGTTTTCTGACTGTGGCGACCATTTTTTTCCTCGCGTGGATAGATGTTGTGATGTACCTGCACACTCTAGTACTCTGTGCGCTGTGTCGTCCTGGGGAACACGCTGGGCGTTGCGGGGGCGGATGAAGCTTTCACTGTCTTCTTTTCTTGTGTTTTTGCGCACATATTGTGTGTATTCTAGTGCCCTTCACTGGCATGGGATAAAATGTAGGTCCATTGTGAAAATAATCATGGCGTACAGCTGCCCCCTCCACACATACACCACACACACACACACAAGCTGCTCTCAAGTGCCACAGGCGCACGCATGTAATGTAGAATTGATTGTCCCTGGTTTGAAAGTCTGGGCTTGGGCACACGGCCACACTTTTAGAGTACTTTGCAATTCATGGTGAATGACTATGTGCTTCGACGTAATGGTTAAATGCACATGATTAGTACAGCATCTGAGTACGTCCTGGTCGCACCATCCATGTCTAGTTCGGAGTTTACAAAAATAAAAATATCAATCTCAGTGCTCATTAGAGTCACAGGAGACAACATGATAACCGCTGAAATGGAGCTTGTCTCTCATTTTCGCTCTATGTCGTGACATATCCGCATCCAGCTGGAAGGCGATGTACACTAGTGATGCGGGGAACCAGTAGCGCATCCTCGGGACTATGCCGTGGAGAAGCCATCCCGACAGCTTACTTTGACAACCCGGAGGGATGAGTAGATTCCTGGAAATGAGGACAGGATAAAAATTGGCAACAGTGAAATATTATTGAAATATCCTCAACTCATCATCATCGTAATGATATCAGCGTTTTCGCGTTGACATTGCCAAGGAAGCTTGCCTAGTCTTTGTGTAGGCCAAATGGAATGGAGAATGAGGAACGAGCGGGGTCAATGAGGTGCTAATACGCATGCAACAGCAGAATAGGAAACGAAGAAAAAATATCCTGAACTAGTGAATGTAAATAGTATAGTCTGACTCAGTCGTCGGACTTGACTCAGCCACCTACACTGAGCTGACTGTTAATAGTATAGTCTGACCCAGTCGTCGGACTTGACTCAGCCACCTACACTGAGCTGACTGGACAGGACTGATAGGACAGTTGCTCATCTATACACGCGTCACGTGCTCGTATGGCCCAGGAACGACCTGCATTTCTAGCCCGTGCTCTATTACGGCACTGCGAAAAAGCAATGCGGACAGGCCAGTGTACATACATACATGTATTCTGCGCCGTGCATGCACGGCGCTGGTTACCTTTTCACCTCTTCTACGCGCTCTGGTCTCAAATTTTGCCATGTTGTGACTTGCAACCAGAGGCATTGGATCTGCCCGTTCTCCTTTTCTTGCGTGCGTGTATGTTTGCAATTTTTGTATCTATTTTGGAGCTGTACGTGTGTCTGTACGTGTGTCTGTTGTTGTTTTTGTTCTTGCTTTATGTTGTATACTGGTGAAGGAGCACGTGAACGGCTCATCTGTTGCAATGCCAATGAGATACCCTTTTCAGGAACTGGCAATTTTTGTAGGACTAGATTTCTAGAGCAGACCTGCTCTTTCTCATTCACTCTGCAACCATATCAAACTCGTTTATCAATTAGTTGTCACAACCTTTCGGCAAATTGCCCTCATCAGGTGTTCAATATTCACCAAGCTTTGTCTCGTATCTCCATTTTATTTTTTCTGTAGGGCGCCCAGAGGAAGCGGTTACACTGATGGCGTTGATGCCGATTGCAGGCGGCCCCGACCTGCAACAGGTGCCCGATGCGACGCAGACGCGTCCCACGCTGGACCGGCTGACCCAGATAGCCCGGGACCTGCGTGATCCGGCGTCCTTCAACAACTGCATGAACGAGCTGTACCAGTGGTGCAGTGACGAGCGTGCCTTTGTGCCCGTCTACGAGGAAAAGCTCATGACATGCCTGACGACCGTACGGGAAATCGCGCTCAGCTCTCACAGCAGAGCTGCTTTTGCTCTGGGTAAGAAACCTCCGTTCTCTAGCAGCATGGCTGTCAGTATCCATGTTGTTGTGCAGTGTACATCTTTCTTTATGCTCCAGATGGTGGTGAAAATCAAGAATTTGCAGTTAACCCTATTTTGCGAATGTGCTGAGAACATTTCGAGAGCACTGCAACTGGGTTCACAGTGTCGCTGTGAAAATGGGGCTTCAAGCTCAGATCTATTTACAGCGAGAACATTGCATATACCAACACCATTTCTTTATCACAAACATTTCTTTCTACATGTGCCGTGCACCGTACACTTTGTATAATAGTGATGATGCTTTACATTTTACAATATGGAATGGTTTCTTGGACAAGCTGCTAAGTTCAAGCGCAATTGTGTTTTGTGTGGTGGTGGTGTTTGTGTGTGGGTTTGTGTGTGGGTGTGGGTGTTTTCTACAGCTGCCCAACTATTCAGCGTTGTGAACAAGCATAGCGACCGTCTATCTAGAGATCACGTGGCTTTGTTCCAGAGGATGTGGAACGAGATGAGACACATGGTTCAACGCCTACAACACCTTCAGCAACAACAGCAGCAGCAGCAACAACAGCAGCAACAACAACAGCAGCAACAACAGCAGCAGGCACGGCAGCAAGCACAACAGCAAGCACAGCAGCAGCAGCATGGAAGTATGATGGATCCCTTGCATTCGACGAGCGGAGGAATGATGATGCGAAATGACCCCCTCGGCCAGCTCCCGTCTATGCAGCAGACGCCAAATCGACAAGTCTCTGTAATAGCAACCATTTGGGATTTCAACACCACGCAGAATTCCGCGCCCATGACGACCTCTGCCGGCCACACTATGTACAACCAATCAGGAAGCTACCCGCAGAGTCAAAGCAACAATAACAGTTTGGCCGAGCAAGCTGCCGCGGAAGCCTCTGTAGAAGCCGCAGCAACCACAATGGGCAGTGGACGGTTTCGTACATCGGCACCCGGTGCTTTTAATCACGGCAATCGTCCAGCGGGCATGCTGGGCAACCCACACATGATAGGCCAAGGCCCGGGGCAGAGTGTACGCGACTCTCCCGCTAACCTACAGGTGGGCAGCAAGTCCATTGTTGCGGCAACGGCGGTCGCGGCAGCGACGGCCTCGGCAGTGGAGCGCCTCCATCAGCCGCAGCAAGCCGCAGGTCTCGGCATTGATGGCTGGAACGGAGCAGGTCACGGCGGCGGCGGTGGCACTGGCGGCGGTGGGCCTGCTCCCAACGCCACTGTGATGGGACCCGGAATGATGCCGCCGCACGGTACGCAAGGACAGCCTCCAAACTATCGAATGCCATCGTCTGGCTACCCGAGTGCTGGACATGGCCTGGGGGCAGGTCAGCATCAGGTACGTCTAGCCACAACGTACTGTTTCGCTTTGTAGACGTGTCTCATCCGTACCCGACCTGTGCCTGATTGTGACAGGATCACTGTGTGTCTGTGTGTTCGCATGTTTTTTGGGGTGTGTGCCCTAACCCTGACCTCAACCCCTGTGAATGTGTGTGTGTGTGTTCGCATGTTTTTTGGGGTGTGTGCCCTAACCGTAACCTCAACCCCTGTGAATGTATGTGCGTGTGTGTTTGCATGCTTTTTTTAATGTGTGCCCTAACCCTGACCTCAACCCCTCAATGTGTGTGTGTGTGTGTTTGCGTGATTTTTTGAATGTGTGCCCCTAACCCTGACCTCAACCCCCGTGGATGTTGTGTGTGGGTATGTGTCCTAATCCCCATGTGTGTGCACGTGGGTGAGAGAGTATATGTAAAGAAGTGTGTGGGTGTGCGTGCTTGTGTTTTAATCCAGCCATGCCGTTTGTCCTGTTTCCGTACAGTTTGCACCTAATGCAGCAGGTGGTCCTTCTGGTCCTTCTGGTCACTGGGGTGCCAGTGATCTCCAGCGCGCAGGTGGTGTGGGACCGGCTCTTGGCCGCCAAACGCCGCAGCAGTCAATCCCTAACCAGCATAGCTCGTATGCGCAACAGCAGCTGGCGTTGAATGGAGGCCAGGTATGTCCTGCTACAGCATGTGGTATGTGTGTGTGCATGTGTGCATGTGTGCATATCCAATTTCACTTTCAGGCACCAGTGCATAGCGTCTGCTTCTATGCGCTGTTTGAACAGTAGTCCTTTTTCTGCCTGTATCCATTTGAAGAGAAGGCAACGAGAGTGTTTGTGGAATCTTGAAATGTTCCTTTAATAGTTAGAGCAATAGTAAACTAGCCCCCCCCCCCCAGGAGTGTGCAAGTCTAGGTTCCCTTGTTATGGGGTTTGCCGACGGTGGAACTCACATCACGTGCTGCAGTGTTCACATTGTACGTTCCCAACCCGATTTTTAGCAAGCAGCGGAGTAGTAGAAATAGTACTCTCTGGCAGAAACCCACTCAGTTTATGCGATTCATGATCATGATCATGGCAGATATTCGTACTGTGCTCAAGCTGACCTGCACTGTGCACCACACGGAACGTTATTTGAACGCGTGATCTGAGTGTTTGCCGTCGGAGACCCCTAACGCAGCGTCCCACACTGTTGGATGGTTATGTACTCTTGGTAGGTGCCTGAAGCTTGTGTTATTCATTAGTCTCGTACGGTATCACAATGCTTGCTGTCATGTTCTATCTTGTCCATGGCTGCACTAGCTAATGTTATGCTATTCATGTTGGCATGTGCTGCCACTGTGTGTTGGCGTGCAGAGCTTGGCAGACACTGGACTCCCGGATAACAGGTTTGGTCCCATAGCTACGGCTACTGACCCGCGCGCACGCCTGAACTTGGAAGCTCGCCGCAGGATGCAGCTCTTAGCCGCGGAGCAGCAGCAGCGGCTGAGAGTGCAGCAAGCAGGTAACGCTTCGGCAGCAGGCCTACTCGGCAATGTCGGGCAGCAAGCACAGCAGCAGGGCCTGGATGCTCTCAGCGCTGCGTCCAACCAGGTCGGACAAATGGACGGACGAGGCCTGCCTTTCTCCTCCTCTCAACACCAACTGCCTCCCTATCCAGGCGCCAACTCTTCCAGCATGCAAGGTACTTTAGAAACTGGCAATGTATTACGCTGTGCATATCATTGTGACGCAGGCAAAGGGGAGCTTCACTAGTTACAGCACCACCGCCACTACAGTACTGTTGGGTACAGAAGAACATGTAGTGTCGAAGAACGAACAGGCTAGAACTTCACCAATCACAGCATACCAATGTATACACGGTGACTCAACTGTGCATAGACTGTAGTACATGAAAATGAGAAGGGCCTAGGCTACGAGGCTGATCCCCTACCAGTTCGTCGGAACCCGACAGTGCTGTAGGGGAAGTATCATCGCTAACTGAAACATGTCTCTTGCGCATATAGGGCGAGCCCAGCGATGACGGTGAGCTCATTGAACTGTTTTAGGCCCTAAGTCTGGCAAAATGAGAGCTGGCTGATGTTTGCTGTGGCATCGTCCATGGCGAGAGAAACCAGGTTGCATGAACAATCATAGATGGATAGTAGATGGTTTATCTGTTCTGTGGCTCCGCCGCCTTGCTGGGTTTTGTAGTGTGCCATGCATCCTCATTACAGCAGTGGTTCTTTGCTGGCTGTGAAGTTTTCGGTTTAGCCTATGCGCTACCTATTGTTCCTTTCTGCTCGTAGACTCGAAGCAAGCAATGATGCAGCAAGTACTGCAACAGAGCCAACAGCAACCTCTTAGGCATGGTACTCCTTCTTTGGCAGCATCCCTGCAGCAGCAGCAGCAAGCTCAACACCTGGGCCAGCAGACAGCAGTATCTCAGTCCGGCCTGCAGGCTGGCAATATGCACTCTCACCCAGTTGCGGCGACACACCAGCAGTCCCTGACCTCGCAGCAGCAGCAGCAGCAGCAACAGCTGCAGCAACAGAAGCAGCACCTCGCGGCACTGCGAGCGCCTGGTGCATCCATTGGCGATGTCTCCGCCCTGCTGCGATCCTCACAGCCAGGGCAATCTGGTCGCATCACGCCATACGGTTCAAACCCAGTTTCGTCTGCTTCCAACCCACCAGTTAAAACTGAGCCAGAACCATTGTTCAATGTCACAGTGCCGGATGGTGTGCTTCTAAAGCCATTCAAGGTGGAACGCGACACCATTCCATCGGAGCACAAGTTCACCCTGAACGAAAAGCACTTCTCCTACCTTGCGCACAAGTAAGAATTAGTGTTCTTTCAGTAAACCTCACAAATATTGCTACATTTGTACTACCGGAATTGTAGTGGAATTGGTTTTTTGTGGTGCTAAATTGTCCGGAAACATTCCCTCTATGGGATACTCGGGTATTGAGCCAATAATAAATGTAGAAAGGAAAAAGGACATACGGAAACGAGTTTTGTGCCTAGTTGTTGCACTTTCTGACTGTATATAGTATCTAGTTACAGTGGTGGAGAGTTACTCTTAACTCATTTCCATATGTCCTTTTTCTTTTCTATGGGATACGCGCAGACTTTGCGAAAGCATCTCAACTGATCATGTAACCTGGCATCCTGTATTTGCCTGCAAGTTAGTTAACCCTTTAAGAGCCACAGGAAATTTTCAAAAATCTGCATTTTTTCATGTTCCTCGGATCATAGCTTCAGTTCTACTCACTCAATCCTCACAATCTAGGGCTCCCTGGAACGGTCTCCGCGAGAGGAAGAGAATGAGGTCAATCATGATAGCCAGCACACCGTCTATCCAGCGCTAGATCGCAGCGACAGTACGAAAAATGCCCCAAATGCGTCCAATTGCGTCCCGCTCCAGATATTTCATTCTACTCGATCGTGGAGTTCCAATTTTTTTGCTGTGTACTCTTGACAATATCAACAGTGAAACCCGTGCAAATTCGAGTAAACCAGCGTGACGAAAAGTCTCAAAAATCTCAACACTAAAGTTGCACTGCGCGCTTTTGAAATTGCCGCGATCGCGGCTCAACTTACGAGTGATTTATCTCGGGAACCGTTGCTCGCAGCGCTTCGCGGATTGTTTCTCCCGACAGGTGAGAGTTTTCTCTTCGCCCTGGATATTTCGATCGATGGATTTGAGCAAGATTGGACTGAGTTACGATCTTTTGAAGTTTTGCATTTGAATGCGTCGTTTACGACGCATTCAAGTATGGGGCGGCTCTTAAAGGGTTAAGGCTAAAACATGATTCTAACTTGTTCCTGTGTACTGTATCAGGAAATTTTCAGACGGAAATATTTTCGGACAAAGCCGATTTTCGACCTTTCGTACGGATACTATTTTCGTACAGCGCTGCATGCTAAATGCATGACTGTGTTCGCATGCGGCACACATGTATAGTGTACATAACTTCACAAGAAGTGAACCCTTGCCGCTCGCCTTGTGCAACGCTCACTGCTCTTGGAGCATTTCGAGCACTCTTGGCGGGGTTTGCAGCTCTTTATAAAATGCTTTGCTTCACGGAAACGTATTTCATTGCGAAGAGCTGCGCTTCGGTCCTCTGAGCTGTGCTGAGGAGCTCTAACAGAGCGAAACAGTTGCTGTCCACAGATTTGAGTAACTTCACAGGAACAAATTTTAGTACGGAATTAATTTTAGCACAAAAGAGGCCGTGACGAAATCGTACGAAAATAAATTCCGTCCGAAAATTTCCTGCTATAATAGTACTTAAATGTGTAGGAGCAAACCCATTCCTATACCGTAGACTACTTCATAGAAATAATTACCTTTCGTCATTGGTTTGAGGCACCCAAAAGGGGAAAGGCCGGAGGAAAAACTGACTACCCCACCGGGAGTATCTTTCTTTCCCTGTTTAACCTGTTATTCTTCCCTTGCGATATCCACAGCGACACAAATCTATTTTTCAAATGCTATCGGCTGGAGGACAGAGAGAGAATCCCAGTGTGGCCAAACTCCATTACTGTGACGCTCAACAACAAGCTCATCCAGCTGGATCGTGGTGCTCCAATGCCAGACGATGTGAGTACCGTGCAGCGTGTGTGTAGTGGCCGCCCCGTGGTGTAAAGACTGCCGGTCTCTGTAGGCAGGTGGTCTTTCAACACAGGTTCAATGGTGTGTAGCAAGAGGGTCTGGGTTCTGAAATGACCGGTCTCATAAGAGAGGTAGTGTCTCCACACAGGTTCTGCTTCTAATATATGCAGCAACATGGCTGGGGTCCTGAAATGACCGGTCTCAAAAGACAGGTGGTCTCTCATCGCAGGTTCAAATGTATAAAGCAGAGTTGTATGCATGTAGCGATATGGTCAGGTCCTGAAATGAGGCAGGCGGTGTCTTAGTACGGTGGAAAGGTGCTGTTGTGAGTGTACGTGGCAAAATGTGTGTGTGTGTGTGTGTGTGTGTGTGTGTGTGTGTGTGTGTGTGTGTGTGTGTGTGTGTGTGTGTGTGTGTGTGTGTGTGTGTGTGTGTGGTGCACTGTTGACAGGCCCGTTGCCATCGTGCAGCCAAGGCCGCTCACATGAAGCACCACATTCATCAGAACCAGAGTCAGACTGGCAACACGCTCCAGATCAAGGATCTCCAGCACAGCGCCGTAAGTGCAAGTTCTAAAAGCAGCACAAGCTCCTGTGCAACTAGGCGTGCAGGGCGTCAGTGTACGTGTGTGTGTGTGTGTGTGTGTGTGTGTGTGTGTGTGTGTGTGTGTGTGTGTGTGCGTACGTGCGTGGGTGCGGTTTCTTCGAGGTTGTCCTCGGTATAAGTAAACTTTGTACTACCAGCATGAAGTAAGTTTGGAATGAAAATGGACTTAATGTTCGTTGCTGCCTTGCTTTTCCTGCCCACTTGACCTGGTCACTTTATGTAAGGAGCAACAAACTCTTCATCTACTGTTGCCGAATCTGTTACTGCTATCAATTTTCCTGAAAAACGAGTGTTTGCCAATTGGTATCTTGAGATTGGGAAGGGTTTACTCCGGTGATAATATTAGAAGGGAGAATGCAGCTATGGTTAGCGATTGGCCAGACAGTCCTCCTGTTGATACCTTGCCGTGCCCCGCGGTTGGATGATTGTATAAGCTATTACCATTCTAGGCGACTAGGGTATTGCTTGTGTCTATGCCAGCGTATTGGTGGCTAGTCCTGGCTATGACAGCAGGTACAGTAGTACTGAACTGCACAGAGGTTTAGATCATATCTAGAGGCGAAAGATGGCTGAATCCATATGGGTTCGTCCAGCGGCGAAGAGTGCTTTTGACAGCTGAGCTCCCGTGTGTGTGATATGGATAGTAGTGCATGATTGTACTCTTGTCGTCACGGTATCCACACCCATGAATGCTGGCTGCTGTATGCAATCTTTCACCGGCTCCTGCCTCAGCCTTTACGGTGATTCCAGACTATCACTTCATTATCGCTTTGCCTGTGTTTCAATCTCAATACGATGTGTATGTGATGTGTCACCTCCCTTCAAAACGCAGGCTTTTGCCTTTCAAGTCTATATCGAGAAGAAGGTTTCGAGATCATCGGCAAAGGCAACGATTGCAAACTCTTTGAGTAAAATTGAAAAGACGGTGGAACGAAGTGAGTACAAAGAAACGGGCCTTGCTCCTGTTTGGCATACTAGTTATGTTTTGTGTATTACCTGGCACATCTGTGTGCGTGTGGATGTGGGGGAACGCATTGATTCATGTGTTGCGGCTCTCTGTCTCTCTCTATGTCGCTCTCTCTCTCTCGCACACACTCTCTCACACTCTCTTTCTGTCTTTGTCTCTCTCTCTCTCTCTCTCACACACACACACACACACACACACTCCCCCTCTCTCTCTCTCTCTCTCTCTCTCTCTCTCTCTCTCTCTCTCTCTCTCTCTCTCTCTCTCTCTCTCTCTCTCTCTCTCTCTCTCTCTCTCTCTCTCTCTCTCTCTCTCTCTCTCTCTCCTCTCTCCTCTCTCCTCTCTCCTCTCTCCTCTCTCCTCTCTCTCTCTCTCTCTCTCTCTCTCTCTCTCTCTCTCTCTCTCTCTCTCTCTCTCTCTCTCTCTCTCTCTCTCTCTCTCTCTCCCGTCCTTCCTGTGTTAGCTATATTGGATATATAATACAAGTATGCTGAGCTGACCTAGATCATGATGCATTTCTTCTACAGGTGATTGGATATGCATAAGGCCAACCATGCTCATGACACTAATTATTGCCTTCTGTCTATGCCTTCCGTTCTGTACAGTCCAACGTGAATTCAGAAGTCGAGAGGGCATTGAGCAGACAGCACTGACCGTAAGGAAATACAAAACACACACACACACTCACTCTCTCTCTCTCTCTCTCTCTCTCTCTCTCTCTCTCTCATGTACACACACGCACACACACACACACGTGCACACGCACATACACACAGTATTTCTCTTTCTCTTACTGACGAAGATTTGCATGGTTTTCTACATGCTTCTTTCTCTATAATGCTATAGACAGTATGGTATGTGTTATGCCATATCACTAGAACAGGAGTAGCTGGGAGAAGGGAAGTTCTTTGCATTGTTGAGAGATATGCTTGTTCTGCGCAAAGTACTGCCCAGCATATTCTGCTATCAGAGACGGAACTTTATCAAGCCTACTGCTACAGGAGATGCATGCAACCGTCAACTCTTGACCGTGTTGCCGCACCAACCACTAACCTTATGTAGCGGGGCTAGTACTGAACCTCTTCATCTGCTTATTGCGTTCTTTTGGATTTTAATTTTATTTCTGACTCGAAGGCTTGAAGCAATCTTGCTGAAAACGGTGCCACTTTACATGGCCAGCAATCGAGGACATCTGAGAGTCGTAATTTTTGTACTCCTGCGAGGTGTGATTTTTGGCGTGCTGGGCCAAGCACAAGGAAGCCATCTGCAAAAAAACTGTAGAAAATGGTTGTTGTTTGATCCTTTGGTGTAATCTTTGTTTCTAGTCGAAGCTAGTTGCTGTTTGGAGCAGAAACGCTGAAATTGACTATTTTCTGCATGTACTCATACATGTACTCACGTACTCAGGCATGCAGTCTCACTCGTATTTTAGCTCTTTTTCTGGAATGGATGCTGCTCTGCGCCCCTTGGTGAACATTTCCTGCGCTCGTGGAGCAGCTGAAAAGGACCACTGGTATGTCTGGTTCCTGGTTTGAAAGTGGAGAGTCGACTTTTGTGTCTTGAAAAAGGAGTAGAGAGCGATAAAGGTACGTCTGTGGCTGATTTTTGAGTGCTCCTCGTACATTTTTGATCGTGATAGAAATTCTCAGCCCAAAGTCAGACCAAAGTCAGCGCGATGATGGTCGTACAGTTTTCTTGTGGATTTTTTAGTTGTTTCATCTCGTATCTATGTCAGTATCGTGATGGTGAAGTGGAGAGGGTGATTTTCTTCCTCTAGGCTTCGTTCGGCCGACTTTGCTTCGTCCTCGTTGAAAAGTGATCCTGAAAAAATGTTGATTCGCAAAATTACGTTGATTTTCAATGTACGTGATGACATGCGATTGCTGGCTATGATCTCACCCTGCGAACAAATTGGTTAGTGGTATTATAACTTTTTTTAATTTCAATCTTGTTGTCACAGGTGCCTTTGCTGTGCCCGATAACTCGCAAGATTATCAAGCACCCAACGCGTGGCCGTACCTGCGCCCACTTGACCTGCTTCAACATGGAGGACTTCCTCGACATGAACTGCTCCAAGGAGGTCTGGAGATGCCCAATCTGCAGGTATGTTGTATCAACAGTCACAGTGCGCATCACAGTACTGTCGGGCGCCGAAGAACTGGGGGGGGGGGTCAGCCTTGTAGCCTTATCCGTTCTTATTTTTGTGGACGAAACTCAATGTTGCCCTGTATACATTGGTATGCTGTGCGTGGTGAAATTCTAGCCTGTCCGTTCTTCGGCGCTCCGTTCTTCGGCGCCTGACAGTACCGTAGGCAAGCATATGTCACGAATATACGGTGCGCTTGTCTGTTCTAATCACATGCGGACACCTTGCAATAGAGCCTTGGTAGCATTGAGTGCAGCATCCGTAGTCTTCTTCGGTTACTGAATAGTTCAGCTGCAACACGGTTACGCAGTCATGTTGGTTATAGAGGTTGTTCTATTTCATCATCAGCTGAGATGATTAGGCGACGCATCGGCACAGCGATGCGAAAGTAAAACCGCTCGGGAGGGCTGACCTCAGTTCAGCACTTTCATTGAGCAGTCCGACCTGTTTCCAAGGATTTCCCCAACAACAGAATACGCACAATCAGTCTCAGGTAGAGTAATATTTAGCTCTTACTCTACCTGGCAAAGATACCTAAGTCCTTTACGTGAGCATATGGGTTTTGATACTTCACTTTGTGCAATATTGTGCAGGAATGAGCTAACTGTTAACACCATGGAAATGGATCAGTGGCTCTGGAGTTTGCTCAAGTCCATCAGTGACAGGTAAGTGTATATGGCAGCTCGTGTGTGTGTGTGTGAGAGAGAGAGAGAGAGAGAGTGTGTGTGTGTGTGTGTGTGTGTGTGTGTGTGTGTGTGTGTGTGTGTGTGTGCATGCGTGCATGCATGTGTGCGTGCGTATGTATGTGTGTGTGTGTGTCCTTGGCTACCCAAAAAAAGAAGAAAAACAGCTGTGTTCTCTGGCAGACTCTCTTGTAGTGGATTGCATAATATACATGTACTTTAGTATAATTGCAGTGTAAATCCACTTTTGATGCAAACTTCCCCTCAAACACGATCAGATTTCATTCAATGTAAAGACCAGTATGAACACCGGTATACAAAAACTTGTACAGGTCGTGGAATCCTGATAATTCGAACCTCAAAATGCCAGGAAAAAACTTCCAATTATCTGGTCATTCTGATTATCCAAACATGAACCCACAACACAAAATGTATGTCAAAATGCTCTCATGGTCACGCAGAGTTGCGCTATGGACCTAAGACACAGATTTCACGGATACTGAACTGACCGACACAGCCTGCTCATGCAAACTGAACTGACCAGTACAATGTACAGTGAACTTCGAATTACACTTTGCTAACTTCGAATTATCAGCACAAATCCCACACATTTTCTATGTAAGTGGAATCTGTGGGACTTCTAATTAACCAGACATATCCAGTTCGAGGTTCTAATTATCAGATTTTTTATGTGGGAATCGTATTGACAGAAATCGGTCCTGGAAAAACTTCTAATTAAGCGGTATGTTCGAATTAAGCCATATTCGAATTATCAGGATTCCACCTGTATAAACACTCCATTCAGGGAAGAAGCTTAGAAGCATGAATTTCTCCTCATACAGCCTTAGTTAGTGTCCTGAGTAACCAATTATCATTCTCTGTGTGTTGTCTTCTGCTTCAGTAATTCATCTGCGGAAGACCTCATTATTTCTGCTAATGGTGAATGGAGTGTGCCATCGAGAGTTAAAAGCGAAGGTAAGGCTGCCGCTGATGACTTTGCATAGCTTTCTCGTGTGTTTAATAAACGCTCTGGATTCTGCTCGTATGCAAGCATGATCGCTGAATGTGCTTTGCATCGGTTACAGTCTACTCGTGATAAGTGACGCACTTTTCAGTCACGCACTCGCGACAAGACGTGCACGTTTGAAATCTGGACACTATATACTTTTGTATATGCTCAAATCTGTGGACAGCAACTGTTTCGCTCTGTTAGAGCTCCTCAACACAGCTCAGAGGACTGAAGCGCAGCTCTTCGCAATGAAATACGTATCCGTGAAGCAAAGTACGTTTGTATATGTATACAGTACAGAACAACAAGGACAACCAAGGCTTGTTTGCTGCTACTTCAAGTTTCATGCTCTCGCAATAAATAACCGTAGATGACATTCGTGTTTGCATTGTCTGTGTTTGTTCAGATGGTGCACCATCAGCCAAGATATCTTGCATCAGTGGCACACTCCCTATACTCCCTCTTCTTTCTGGCAACCAGGATGCTAACTTACAAGTGTTTCAACATCAGCAGGCAAAGGGCCTGGCGAATGCTGCTGCCATGCAGAACAAGGCAGTGGGCTCACCCCAGGCAAATGCCGCAGCTGCGAATGCTGCGGCCGTTTCTGCATCTCAGTCTGTGGTCTCGTCTCTCCAGCAGACCTTGAGCCAAGGTCCAGCTCAACAGTCCCAGTCCTTTCAACAAGGTGGTCCTCGTCAGCAGCAGCAGCAACCGCAACCAGGTCACCATCAACAGGTCCCTCAGAGTCTTGCCCAGCAACTTCAAGCTGGAGATAACCTGCAGTCTTCACAGCTTTCTCAGGAAGCGCAACTACAGATGCAACAGCAGAAGCTACAGCTGGGTCAGCCATCACAGCAGCAGCAGCAGCTGCAAGCTTTGCTGAGCCGATCATCTCTACCAGGTGCTCAAGGTGGCGGCCTGCCGCAACAGCCACAACAGCCGCAGCAGCAGCAGCACGCTCTGCACCAGCAAGCCCAGCAGTTGACTCCCCAACAGCAGCAACAACTGATGGAGATGCGTCACCAACAGAAGCAAAACCAACTGCAACACCAGCAACGCCTCCAGAGTCTGATGCAACAACAACAGTTGACGCAAAATTCCCAATTGCAACTACCATCTCAGCAGGCACATGTGCAACACCAACAACAACAACAGCAACAGATTCCACTGCAACAACAGCAGCAGCCTGGGCCACAGCAAGTACAGCAACAGCAGCAACAGCAGCGGCAATCTACTCTGCAGCAGCAACTTCAGGCCAATCCTTTTCTTCCCTCTGGTCGCCTCACACCGCAGGCTGCTAACAACTGGCAGGCCGGACAGAACTTGCCCAACCCTGCTGCAATGCGGCCTCCATCGGCGCCTGGCTCTGTTGCCAACTCGGCAGTTCCCAGCAAGCCAGCTGCGAAACCATCAGGTGCTGGCAAGAAGCAACGTCCCCCATCCAGATCTAAGCAACAGGCACAGCAGCAACAGCAGCAAGTCCAAATGCCAGCTTCGCCTGCAGTTGCCGCAGCATCCACCTCGAACCTGTCTGCCACCAGCCAGTCGTCGATTACAACTAGCCCTGCAGCAGCTCAGCAGCAGCAGCGCACTACCCTTCAGCAGCAGACCAGTACAAGCAGTGTGCTGGACGTTGATCGACCACGATCTAGAAGTGCTCTCGAGATCACCGCCTCGCCACGCTCAGTTCAGCCAGCCAGTGCCGCACCTACAACTGCTGTTGCTCCAGCTGCTGCCGCCCAGTCACCAGCTACGGCCATGCAACAACAGCAGCAACAACAGCAGCAGCAACAACAGCAGCAGCAGCAACAACAGCAGCAGCAACAACAACAGCAGCAACAACAGCAGCAGCAGCAACAACACCAACAGCAACAACAGCAGCAGCAGCAACAACAGCAACAACAACAGCAGCAGCAACAACACACAGCAGTTGCAGCTTCTGCAGCCGCCAGTGCAGTTGGTGCTGGTTCTGGTGGCGGCGCAATTGCTGCTTCCTCCAATCGAGCTGGCCCCGGCTCTGTGAGTGCAGATACCGCCGCTGCTGCTACTGGTCCCGCTACCAATCCCAACACTCCAGCCACGTTAACTCTGCCTGGTTCTGTTCCGGCACCAGCGTCCAACACTAATGCTCCTTTTGTTCTGGACGAACTGTTAGGCCTTAGCACGGGAGATGAGCTGTGTGCATTCGATTCTAGCACCTTTGATCGCGTAAGTATTACTTGGAGAAAACATCTGTTTTGCTTTTCTTCTCCTTGGAAAGTGGAGCATGTTGTGCAAAGCATGTGAAGAGTACTGTATTACGTGCTGAGTAGCATGCAATGTCTGTGTCCTGTGACACCGAATTGGCATGTGCTGTGTTTGTGCGTGTGTGTGTGAGTGTGGGTGTACTATATGTGTGTGTGGGTGTGTATGTGTGCCCGTGCGTGCATACGTGTGTGTGTGCGTTTGCGCTGTGTGTGTGTGTGTGTGTGTGTGTGTGTGTGTGTGTGTGTGTGTGTGTGTGCGTTTGCGCTGTGTGTGTGTGTACAATATGTGTGTATTACTGTTATGTGCGGTGTGGTTACGTGCGTACGCGTGTGTATTCATGCATGCCTCTGTGTGTGTGTGTGTGTGTGTGTGTGTGTGTGTGTGTGTGCGTGCGTGTGTGCGTGCGTGCGTGTGTAGTCTAAAACTGCATAGACTCTTGATGGTAGCTTCGTTAAAAATGCTTTAACCCTTTAAGAGCCGCCCCATACTTGAATGCGTCGTAAACGACGCATTCAAATGCAAAACTTCAAAAGATCGTAACTCAGTCCAATCTCGCTCAAATCCAGTGATCGAAATATCCAGGGCAAAGAGAAATCTCTCACCTGTCGGGAGAAACAATCCGCGAAGCGCTGCGAGCAACGGTTCCTGAGATAAATCACTCGTAAGTTGAGCCGCGATCGCGGCAATTTCAAAAGCGCGCAGTGCGACTTTAGTATTGAGAATTTTGAGACTTTTCGTCAAGCTGGCTTACTCGAATTTGCACGGGTTTCACTGTTGATATTGTCAAGAGTACACAGCGAAAAAATTGGAACTCCACGATCGAGTAAAATGAAATATCTGGAGCGGGACGCAATTGGACGCATTTGGGGCATTTTTCGTACTGTCGCTGCGATCTAGCGCTGGATAGACGGTGTGCTGGCTATCATGATCGACCTCATTCTCTTCCTCTCGCGGAGACCTTTCCAGGAAGCCCTAGATTGTGAGGATTGAGTGAGTAGAACTGAAGCTATGATCCAAAGAACACGAAAAAATGCAGAATTTTGAAAATTTCCTGTGGCTCTTAAAGGGTTAAACTCTAGATTAGAGGGACTTGAATAGCTGTTCTCCATTTCTGATTGTCCGTACACTCCAATGAAGCGACTCGCACATGTGTAATGTTTCACTTTTCCTACTAAAAAAATGGCCAGGCTGAAAATTTGGTGAAACGAAAAGATATTTGCAGTGAAGAGACCGGTTTTGGAGGTGAAGAAATGAGTTATGCGTTCCTCCATTTGATTGGCGCACTCTATTCTGTTTGTGCTGCTTTGCTCATAATTAAATTCAGCTTTTGTTTGTGTTCCTGGCTTCTTGCAGCTACTGAATCAAACCAGTGACGACATGCTCATGAATCCCGACCCAGATCAGCTCCTTCCCTCCGGCCTTTCAACCAGTGAGGGTGACGAGTTGCTGAGTAATTTCATTCCCTTTACTTAATAGTTCTGTGAGTTGCCAGGTTTGTATTCCGGTTGCGCAACTGTTCCTTGTCCAGTCAGTGCCCAGTGAAGGAAAGTCTTGAGTCACCCATTGGTCTAGTCATGCCCACTTACTCAGCCTTGCTAACGTTTCCCCACTACCCACTACAACTAATGTCTAAAAGTTCACCCACCACCTGCCATGTCAGCGCATGCCATTTACACTGAAAAGAAACCAACGTACTATCTCGAGCGGCGATATCAAGCAGCCTTTCCATTAGCAGCGTCCAGCTGAGCTATGTAGAGAATGGTCTCCGTAATCGAAAGGTTGATATGAGCTTATCGCCAGCACCAAACATGAATGTCACAGGAATACGAGAGCTCTAACCACTTGACAAAGCTCATACACAGTATACACACTGTGCAGTGTGCTGCTAAACCTTGTTAAGTCATCTATTATAAGACGGCATCTATTTCGGCATCTATTTCATCGTGTGAACGTTACTTGCCACTGATTTTTTTGATTGTCTCTTGACTGAGCTGCTGCGTGTGATTTATTTTGGTACGGTCAGTGTTTCTTATTTCTGTAAACTCTTCTCAAAAAGGAGTGATTGCCTTCCTGTGTGTATTCCACCGAGGTGACCACTGAAGTCTTGATGTTGCCTAGTCTGCCTCTCTCCTGTGCACCCTAGTCCAAATATCACCCCTTATGCAGTATCCGATGATCCACATGTTCTCTGACTCTGATTTTCTATTTTTTTGGATCTCCCAATAATAATTTATCCACAGTACAAATTGGCCGTGGCTCGCCGTTGGAGCTCTATGGTCATCCATACACAGTCACTCGGCATCGCTGAATCCTTGCGTACCCTTCTAGTCTTTCCGCAATGCTCAGGTCTAGTCTCTTGTATTGGGCCCTGGGAATTCTCTAGACAGAACTGACCTACTTTTGATATTCTCTCTCTCTACTGATAGGTTTTGATGTGTTGAGAACCAAGTCCACTGAACTTCTTATCCTGTACATATCAGTCCGAAGTCTTCTTATTCTATTTTCCGTACTCTCTCTCTCTCTCTATTGTGTGTTTTCCCATGTAAATACGTTGTCAATAGGCTCATGCATCCTATTCCGTTCCACCGTCTGTATATATCTATCTAACTTCAATCACCAGGAACCACAACCCTGCCGCCTTTCTTCACCACGCTGCATCTGTTTGTCTTTTTTGTGTGACAGAGCTTGAAAAACGTTTTCAAAACAAGTGAGCGTTCGATGGACGTGTGTGTGTGCATGTGTGTGTGCGTGGGGACTGTGCGTGGGGACTGTAACGGTGACACTACATGGTTAACCTTCACTTACTGTGGTGGGATGGTCGGGTCATCCTGGCCTGCACCCCGACGACCACTAATCTAGTCTTTATGTATGAGAGGCTATGCGAATAATGACGTCATGGTGATGTCATGGTGGTGATTCAGCGCAACCACCTACGGGCGATATGTACATGTAACGTTATACAAGTGGGCCGGCCGGCGGTTTCCATGGTTTTTCTTGAGCTGCATACATGTACATGACTGTATAGTGCATTGGTGTGCTGCGACTTACTTTGACAAAGTATCTCCACCGATGATGTAACCGAATGCCCTCTACACCCTTCCTCACAACAGCTATTCATGTACAGTCATGTACAAGCAAGAGTCCATAAACAAGAGTATGCAACTGTGATCTCTTTTCTATGGGCCAGATGCGCGGCGCGCTGCCTTCATTACATCATTCAGCTGCAGTCCGCGCACTGCGGAAAATCAAACACCGCATTTTCCCTCTGGTCTGAAATGAACTTTCGTACGGAACTGGAGTTCACGCGCCAGAATTCAGAGATCGCGTAGGTACTGCACGAATCGAGCAAAAACGGATGGGCTCGTACGAGAAATTGTGAGTTTGAATGGATGCTTTCAGAGCGTGATGAAGGCAAGTTACGTAATGAAGGCAGCGCGCCGCGCACTGGGCCATAACCACAGTTGCATACTCTTGTTTGTGCACTCTTGGTACAAGGTTAAGTAAGAGTAAGACATGTTATTATAACGAGTCGCAAATGCACGATTGTCCAAAATCCATAGATTAGCGAGACGATACGTTAATCTTGCAGTCTTCAGGCATGCCCGCACATAACACATATGAAGCATTACAGCCTCACCACACCTACATTGTAATTATAATGAAGAAATGTCACTCATTAGAAACGTTAGATTTACATGCCTTACGGTATCTGATAGTCATGTACCGCTGTAGATGCACGCTGCACACTCAGCCTGAAGTGGTACTACAGTAGCGGCTCTGCTCCATGCCCCCATTTACACAGTTCTGGGCATGCAGGGAGTAGTAAAACACCAGTATTTCACTACTCCCTGGTTCTGGCATGTACAGTCATGTACATGTCATGCACAAGCCTTGCTTGGTACATAATTATACACGTAACAGCCAGCATTACCACATCTACCATGAGTGCGACTGTCTCGCATGCATGGCTGCAGTCAATATTAATATTTTGTATCCCATTGCATGTACAATGTACATGTAGATCACTCCGCAGTTGCATGTACCATGGTTACGAACTGGTAGGGCCGGGTCTCCCATTTTAGCTGCACTGTTACAGTTACATGCACGCTAACCAGGCTCCGGCGGATACTACGCCGGCATAAATTTTGGCATAAATATTGTGGTGATTGAAAATTTGGAGCATAATTTGGCATCCTTTCGGAGGAGCATAACTACATGATTGTACAACAGTTCTAGTATGCAGGCTACACATTATTGTGTACAATGCACCTGATCAGTGCTGGTGGTCTGCACGGTAAGGGTTCGGAGGTCATACAGACAGTGTTTCCAGTGAAAAGGAAGGTAGAAATCGTGCAATACATTGTTGTATGCTCGAGCTCGTCTTCTTCAAAGTTCTTTCTCACGCTGATACCGTACATGTAGCAGAAGATCGAGTTAATCAGCCTTTAGCAGGCATCTCAGGGCGGACGAGATTTTTTTACAGAATGCATCTCCTACTGATAGACCATAACAAAGAGAGGAGAAGAAGAAGACAAAAGAAAATAATGATCGAGACATCAAAGGAGAAAGACAGACAATGTACTAGTAGGGGCTCTCAGGGAGCCTGTACCGGTGTGGTGGGACTAGCAACGCCGGCCTAGGGTCTCGGCGTTAGCGCTATCCAGCGCACCATGGACGGGATTACGAAACACATGTAAATAGATAAGTGAGGGGGAGGGAGTTGATTGTGGGTATATGGGTGTTACAGCGAGTCTGTAGCCCAATACCAGCGGCTTTGTCGTAGGTGCGGATGCACCTTGCCCTTGAACGACTGGAGGGACGTCAGGCGTGGCGGAGACCGCAGCACAGTCGGGGGCAAGTTGTTCCACTCGTCAATGATGCTGTAGGGGAAGCACCGTCGCACGTAATCAGGAGAGGAAGCCGGGAGGACGTTCTGTAGCTGAGACTCGTGGCGCACCGAGTGGTCGGACCGAGTTCGAGGACATGTTCGTGGAGGAAGCTGTGGGGGGATCAGCGATGTTAGTTGCGGTGGCCCTGCCAGACACATCAGTTATGCTGAGGGTGGCGAACAATCTCCTTGCTGCCAAACTCTGGAGGAGGACATCAGGGCCAAGAATGTGGAGGGCGCGTCTCTGCATTCGATCGAGAAGGCGCAGATGGCTTGAAGCTGCTCCCATCCATACCAATGGCGCATACTCTAGGACTGGCCTCACAAAACCTCTGTAGACGGTTCATTTACCAGCACCATCGAGTACGCGAGCAGCTTTGCGCAGGAAGCCCAGGCGAGAATTCGCCTTGAGTGCTGTGTTGTGGAGGTGGGTCTTGAAGGAGAGGCCCGAGTCAAATGTGATGCCGAGGAGTTTTACCTCCGATAGCTCAGACACAGTGTGATCTCCAAACGTGAGGTCCATGATAGGCCACCTGTGCCGCTGATGGGCTATCGTCATGAGCTGTGACTTTGTGGGCTCAAACCTGATCCGCCACTTCTTGCCCCAGTCATGGAGCGCATCCAGGGTGGCTTGTAAGCTTTTCTGACTGTTTGGGAGCAGTTCCGGTGATCCAATACAGGTGTAGACCGTTGTATCATCGGCGAAGGTGGCCAGTGAACATCCAGGAGCTAGGCACTGCTCCGCATCGTTTACATAGATGAGGAACAGAATTGGCCCCAGTATGCTCCCCTGGGTACTCCCGACTCTAAGGGTAGGGCGCCGAACTCTGGCCATTCACAACAGCCTGTAGCTTCCTGAGGGACAAATAATCTGTCAGCCAGGTCAGGGCTCTGCCACGGACGCCGAGTGTCTGCAGCTTGTAGGTGACTCCGATGTGTGATACCTTGTCGAAGGCGCCTGCGATATCTACCGCAAGAACCATCGAGCATCCTCCACTTCCAGTGGTGAGAGTCCACTCATGATTCAAGGCAGTGAGGAGGTCGGCTGTTCCTAGGCCTCGTCTGAAGCCAAATTGGCGTGCAGAGAGGAGGTGGTGGCGCTCAAGGTAGTTTACTAGCTGGTGATTAATGATTCCTTCCATGACCTTAGAGCAGATGGACAAGAGGGATACTGGGCGATAGTTTGCTGGCAGGGAGCGAGAGGCCTTCTTGTACACTCGTACCACATTCGCTGTTTTCCAGGCCGCTGGTTGGACACCGGACCGAAACAGAGCGAGAAGAGAGTTGACAGGGGACGTGCTAATTCATGGCAGCATTCCTTAAGGACACGAGCTGGAATTTGGTCGGGGCCCGTAGCTTTCCCTGGGTCGAGTCTGGACAAGTGTTTACGGACAATGGGAACCCTGAAGTGCGCGTCCATGAACTGATATGGTGTAGGTGGAATATGGTCTGGAATGTCAGTAGGGCAAGTCGTCACCACCAAGGCTGCACTTCTGCGAGAAGTAGGTAACGGAGCACTCAGCCTTGGAGCGGGCTGTGAGATGTTCACGCTGGTTGGAATCAACAAGCGTAGGAATGTCAGAGTGTCGTTCCTTCCCGGCGGCAGCTTTAATGGTACTCCACCACTGTTTGTCCCGCAAGTTGCCTGTTCGAAGCTTCTGCTTGAGGTGTTCCTCCCAGGAAAGTTGGGCTTGCTGCAGAGTTGACACAGCATTGGTAACTGCCTGGACATAGGCTGCTTTCAGTGTCTCACTGGCTTTTGAGCGGCTCCACATCTTCCACGCTGAATGCTTTTGTGCGATTGCACTACTACATGCCGGTGTCCACCACCTGGGATCAGAAGCTCTGGTCACAAGTTCCTTGTGAGGAATAAACCGGTGCATACCATCATGTATTCTAGACGATATACTAGCCCATGCGGTGTTAGGATCATCGCTGGCAGTGGTCACAGCTAGCCAGTCTGTGGAGCGGTAAAACGCTAAAACGAGATATCGACGGGTAGTCCGCAAAACTCCGCTTACATGTACATTATGCATGATACGAAGCCATGACCTTTGGATTTTACTGGCAGCCATGACCTTTGGATTTTACTGGCAAGCATGACCTTTGGATTTTACTGGCAAGCATGACCTTTGGATTTTACTGGCAGCCATGACCTTTGGATTTTACTGGCAGCCATGACCTTTGGATTTTACTGGCAGCCATAGCTCTACAGGCTATAATCTTATTGCCAACTCCCATCGTATGCGGCACTACTTGATCCAGTGGATATTACTCGGAGAATTATTAGGAATTTAGGAGGCATAGTTGATGTTCGGTCATGATGGAAGGGGAGGTGGAGCTGCGGGAAAAATGAGCTGATTATCTGCAGGATGAGGTTGACATGTTGGCGATGAAAAAATTGATTACAAAAGAAATCAAGTAATGAATAGAAGAAGTAATGTATAGAAAAGAACAAGGGCCAAGGAACTACAAGTTTAATACGCCATACTGTCCACTAACACCACCAGTTACTAAACACCGTCAGTCACTGTTGTGTAATGTTATCGCATGAACTGATTGATTAGTAACTGGTGGTGGACATATTATGGCGTAACTTGTAGTTCCTTGGTCCTTTTATAATTTTAATTTATTTTATCCTTGGCTCTCCATCCAAGAAGACTTATTTTAATTTAATGTTTCTCTTTTCTATACTGATCTTCAGCATGCATGGACACATTGGTATGGGGACAAAGTTACTAGTACTCATGTTTTTTACTGTACTTATGGCCACTTGCAAGTACGAAAACGCAATTTCCCGAACCTAGAGGCTCCATAAGTACAACAAAGTGAATACTTATATAAGTAGCCCTTTCCCAAAGATGCCATAATTTTTCGCAACTTCTGCTTTTCGCACCCGTGCCAAAACAGGTGCTAGTTGCTGAAATCGCATCTATATTTTCAGAAAAAGCTCAAAAGTGGCTAATATTGCAACTTAATTAAAATTGCAGAGTTCTCGTGCGAAAACCACCAAAAAAAGGAGCAGAAGTAGCAAAAGTGCAGCGACAGCAAACTTGTGCACCCCTTCCTGCTGTGAACCACCACTTTACACAATGCCAGTAGCCTGTTGCATGTAATCTACATCATTCCAGTGCACGGAAAAAAGTCGCGATTTCTTCCTAAACAACGAAAAGTTGCGAAAAAAAGTAGCGAGCATCTTTGGGAAAGGGCTACTTGTAAGTATCCCCACATCCCCAAAGAATAATGAGGATTTTGCGCGTATAATACGAGCATCCATGAAAGCATAACTCCATGATTTCGCGAGCGTGATCCGCCAGAGACTAACGCTAACATATTCAATGGTAATGATTTGCGCGGGCGTTAGCTCAAATTATGCACATAGATAATGCGTCATAACAGGTAGTATGCAAGGGTTATGGGATAGCTTTGGGATGGCTTTGGGATAGCTTTGGGATAGCTTTGGGATAGCTTTGCTATGCCAGAAATGCACAATACGGCTTGAAAGCGGTATGTCATGACAGCCCAGAGTCAGGACAAAGCGGACTTTTGGATCCATTATGGTCCAGTTTTGTATGGATGGATGAGACGTTTGTGTATTTCCCTTCATACTCATAGCATAAAAAGTGGTACTTCCACTGCTACAGTCCATTTCAAAACTATAGACGCGTAGGGTTTTGAAATATTTCAAATTTGGCTGGAGCTTTTTGAGAATAGTTTTCGGAATATTGCTCAGGACCGCTCCACAATTACTCTCATGTAGTTTCTAAACGATTGGATAACAGACACCAATTTAGAAAAATTTATGCACAAAGTGATCACAGATTTTATGTGGTATAGATGCTGGCATAACGGTTTTTGCCTAGGTACGCGTCTATAGTTTTGAAAAGGACTGTAGTCACTGGACTGGGCCCTCCAGGTCAGGGAACCACTTCTGAAAAGTTCTGATACAGAAAAATATCACCTACAACGTACAGTCAGACCTCGCATAACCGCAAACCTCCGTTTCCACAAAAAATATCCGGATAGGCGAGAGAACCGGATGATCGAACACACACACACACTGTATGTACGCATGGCATATGCTGTAAATCGGTAACCAGCGATTTTCTTGCGGATTGCGAGGGATCCAGACAGAAGAGGACCGGATAAGCGAGGTCTTACTGCACATGTACGTTGTACATGTGAGTGCGACACGAGGGGTCCACCCGGCACATCCCGTACTTCACCATGGGCAGAGTGGATCCAAAAGTCGTTATGGCAGGAAATTCCTCGATTTTTGCTCCCCTTCAGTTCTACATGTACATGTAGATCAGGGAGTCGTAAAATACAGTACATGTAAAACCTTTCAAGGCGACCACTCGGATAAGGCGACCAACTGTCCAAGGGGACCACTACCACCAGGACCAAGGGTTGTTGATTTCAGTCAATGGCCCTGGATAAGGAGACCACCTTTGCCGACATTCAAGACCAAGGCCTACCATCACCTCCGCCAGACCAATTGGCTATGGGCCACTGAAGTCCACCAGCACTGAGAATAACCGGTTGTCTCTATTATTATCATTTTCTGTCTCTCTCTCTCTCTCTCTCTCACTCTTCCTCTCCTGGGAAGCTCCTCATGCTCATTCTCCCTTTCTCTGTCCATTTCCCCTTCCTGATGCGTAGACCAATTGTTGAACCCGAGACCACTAGGTCGGGGGAGGTTGACCTACCTCATCGGCACGCATGCCACGCTCCTCTGTGTTGTCAAAGTTCGCTTGTCCACTTTTGTCTACCTCCCCTTTTATGTTGCTGGCCAGTGCTTTCTAGTAAAAAAAAAAAAAAAAAAAAAAAAAAAAACACAGCGACCACATTTCATATTTTCAGAAAAAAACTCCAAAGGTTGCTAACATCGCAGCTTAAAATTGGAGAGTTCTTGTGCAAAAAAACACCAAGAATTTACCGACATTCAAGACCAAGGCCTACCATCACCTCCGCCAGACCAATTGGCTATGGGCCACTGAAGTCCACCAGCACTGAGAATAACCGGTTGTCTCTATTATTATCATTTTCTGTCTCTCTCTCTCTCTCTCTCTCACTCTTCCTCTCCTGGGAAGCTCCTCATGCTCATTCTCCCTTTCTCTGTCCATTTCCCCTTCCTGATGCGTAGACCAATTGTTGAACCCGAGACCACTAGGTCGGGGGAGGTTGACCTACCTCATCGGCACGCATGCCACGCTCCTCTGTGTTGTCAAAGTTCGCTTGTCCACTTTTGTCTACCTCCCCTTTTATGTTGCTGGCCAGTGCTTTCTAGTAAAAAAAAAAAAAAAAAAAAAAAAAAAAAAAAAAACACAGCGACCACATTTCGGAAGGTCCCTTGAGCAGTCGCCTTAGACAGCTTTCACTGCAGTGTCTTATGACTCCCTGATGTACACGCATATCCCTGACCCTACATCCACACGAAGCATACCGGAAAATGAGAGAGTGCACGTCTACGAAAAGCAGGACTCTCTTCATTGCACACGGTCAGCTTTCTGGATAACGACATTCGTGCTGGTTCAGGAATTTACTTGCTATTCGCAGGGTAAAACTTACAGCCTGTTTGGGCGTGTTCCTGTCTAACGAGTAGCCCTTTCCCAAAGAAACTCGCCACTCTCTTCGCAACTTTTCGCTGTTTAGGAAGAAATCGCAACTTTCGCAACTTTCTTCATTTTCGCGAACTATTACTTAATTTTCCCGCCACCTTGACCCCATGGCATGGGGTCAAAAGGTCAAGTCACAGACTACAGGTCGGACAAATGCACACTCGCCCATTCCTCGCCTGCCTTCAGACTCATTTCAGAGAAACAGTAGATCAACGGTAGTTACGATAATGTGCATTCCCTTTTCCGTGCACTGGAATGATGTACAATCATGTACATGTAGGATACACGCAACTGGCTAGTGGCACTGTGTAAAGTGGTGGTTCACAGCAGGAAGGGGGTGTACGAGTTTGCTGTCGCTGCACTTCTCCTATTTCTGCTCCTTTTCTTGGTGTTTTTTTGCACAAGAACTCTCCAATTTTAAGCTGCGATGTTAGCAACCTTTGGAGTTTTTTTCTGAAAATATGAATGCGATTTCAGCAACTTGCACTTGTTTTGGCACGGTTGCGAAAAGCATAAGCTGCAAAAAATTATGGCATCTTTGGGAAAAGGGCTACACTCGAGTTGAACCTTTGAACCTTTCAGTTGAACCATAGTGTGAAAGGTGTAGGCTGCGGTGATCAGGTGATCAGGTGACTGGGGTACGCATAAGCATGTGCATGCTTGTTCAACCATGTTCGATTGGGAATAATTCCGAACGCTGCATCGCAGCCTTCTCGGACCAAAACCAGTCGACTCAGCTTCCAAAAGACTACAACATATGGGCCAATCGCGTTCATCCGTGCTTTTATAAGAACGAAATGGCGCTTCTAGTGACATTTTGCACACAAATCCCCATCTACAATAGTCACCCAGTTTTGGTGGAGTGACGAGTTCGATTGGGAATAAAGGAGAAAGGGAGCATCTCAGCTTCCTCGGACCAAGACCATTCGACTCAGCACCCCAAAGACTAAAACTGGTGAAAATTTAATTTCAGGCTTAACTTCCCCTTTAACACAACTCCTTCAAAGTTACGAATCATCGGAAAACAACAACGTTGAGGGTCGTGCAGTCAGATGCATGTGCAGCAGCGTGGGGCTCCATCCAGCGACCAGTCATTAGAGAGGTTCCGCACTACGTAAAGTTGAGCAACTTTACGTTAGTAGGCAGGAAAAACCCGTAAATTCGCGAGTTTGCACTCCGCTTACAGAAAGTTGTCTGCGTAGAGTACGTAGATAGGGCTCTGATAACGTAGGTGCTCCGTAAGTGGCATGGGGTACAACATTTATGACTCTCTCCTCGGGTCGATCCGGTCGTACACTGCCGCGTTCGGAGTTGCCAAGGGCAGCTACGTGATTTGAAAACTCCGTATGGCGTAACACAGATCCGCATGCAGTTTACGTAAGACCTTCCGTAGATCGACTACGTTTTGCTAATATAATTACGTTTTGCGGAACCTCTCTGGTCTAGTGTCTACAATTGTAGTCTCCATTCGCAGGTAAGTACGAGTAGAGTATAGTAGATCTACACAACGAGGTTACATTAACTTACAATGCTTAGGCTACCTGTTTCCCACATGTCCCCTTCTCCCAGCTCAGGAAGGGACGCACTCACGCAGCTGCTGGACTTGAATCTTGATGGCAGCTGCCACATTGTCATCGAAACTGGTCGAATCACGAGCCGGCCGCGGTTAGCTTCTCCGTCAGCCCTGAAGTCAGTGATGAATAGGGTGTGGTTCTCTTTCGGTGCGCAAGAGTGCTCGCTAATTTCGTTTGTTCATTCTGGAGAAGAACAGAGCATGCATGCAGTCCATGTTGGCCGAGAGTTGTGATGTGAGAACTACATGTAACGTTAGTATTATCAATACGAGCGATAGAGAAGCAAAAACTAAGACTTTTTTTTTCTCGGTCATAATTCAAGAACGGAAAAGAGGAAGAAATTCACGGAACGGCAACTCACTGGTTTATCTGAAGAGCATTCGTGATTGGGGCAGCTTGAATATATCGTTGTCACCGTCGCTCCTCTTACAAAAAGCTGACAGTGGACGAACATTCTGCAGTACTTCTTCTCATGATGCTGCTCGCAGGCATAGAATGAGCTCGAAGACTTCGCTGCAGCAGCTGAGCTGTATATACGTATACGTACGGACGTCACCGTAGAACAACGGTGGTAAAAAGATACACCAGCCTCGCGAAATCAAAATACCGGTAATGGCGATAGCCAGCAATGCAGAGATAGGAGCCTCTCAGAGTGGAGAAAACTCAGACACGACTCACTGCTGAAAGTTCTTGCAAAGCAGAAAAAGTGTCCCATCTCCGCACTGACAAAAGTGAGAGCCGCCAACAACTAAAAAAAGTTGTAACTACCGGTAACTAATTACTTGCTCCCGTCAGCATGGTCAGTGAGTTAGCGCCTGTTGCCTCGTCGATGGTATCGGCCTGGCCGCGCCATGCATCAACAAGGCGCCATTCACTCGCAGGGTGTGACTTTTACCACCGCAAAGGACCAAGGACCACTACTATCCAGGTCAAAATAGTAGGGGGTGGGCGCCGGGCATGGGAAACAGTTACCCTATATATCCCATTTTTCCACTTTCCAATAATTATTGTTTTGCCACGCCAAATGCAACGTATACGGGGTGAATCCCTGACTTCACCCCAGACAAATGTGCCTTTATGAACCATCTATGCAAGAAAAACACGAAAATCGGAAAGTGAGTAGGGGGGCGGCAATTTTTCACAGGGGGGTGCGCAAACAGAGTAGGGGGGCGCTGCGCCCCTACTTTGGCTAGAACCCTGCTATCCCGCACTTGGCTCAATGCCATTCTTCTCACAGATCACACAGGAGAGAGAGAGAGAGAGAGAGAGAGAGAGAGAGAGAGAGAGAGAGAGAGAGAGAGAGAGAGAGAGAGAGAGAGAGAGAGAGAGAGAGAGAGAGAGAGAGAGAGATCAATACGCTCAACCACACACACATCACACCACATGCAGGCGCACACACACATCACATGCAGGCGCAACACAGTCCAGCACACATAGCCAACGGGTGCTGAGGTGACCAAAGACAGAAAGAGCAGTGATTACACTGAGGTACGAGACTTAGTATTGAATGAAAAGCAACTAATAATAGGATTACATGTAGGCACATCGGACCAGTCAGTAGTATAAACAGAATTCTCATAATAGGAATCCGGACAAGCAGGACACAACAATCAATGGGCCACCATACCGCACAAGACAACAAAGCGACAAAAAACGAGAAATTTGAAGCGGGTAATGTACAACGATCAGCATCTCTGTGAGTTGCAGTAACGAAGGCAATGAGCACGATTGCAGCCATTACAATCAACTGAAGTGGGCCAGAGCACAAGAACAACAGCAAACAGCAACAACAAGAAAATATAAAACCAGCAGGTTCTTGATTTCGTACGAGACAAGAGCTGTTGGCGTGGAAGCAACGGTAGCTTAGTGGAACACTGACTCAAAAACGGAACATCCGGCTGAGCGACAGAACACGCATAAGAATAGCGCACCGTAGAAAGGATACAATAGAGGCAATTTCCAAAAAAAATAGAATTCAAAAGCGAGAAACACCAAGAAATGCGCACGGGGCGAAGACCGGCGCATATTTGGAACTCAAGACAAGAGCCATTGGACTTGGACAGATAGGAGTAGAGGAAACAGCATGGCAGTAATGTCGGCCCTATTCGTGTGCTAGGTGTCGCAATACGGCGCACTACAGCAGCTACAACTATTACTACCGCTACTACACAGCACAGCAGAGCCTATAGGAGTGGGCGCGTGGCGGTAGCGTAAGGAGCAATACGAAAGCCTAGACAGGAACGGTAAAGCCTAGACAACGGAGAAATGGCAACAGGCGCTGGACGTTGGTGGGCTACGGCTAACGCACACCATGGCAAGGAAACGGAAAAAAGTGCATTCGGAATATAGTGGCACATACTACTGAGTCACATCCAGTGAGGAGCTTGGTAGAAGCGCTTGCCGTCAGGAGAAAGACAAGGCCGACAAGATGCGTGTTGGTAAGAAGGAGGGAATAGACACCATTCAGGCAGAACTGCTAGCGACGAATAGTGTTAGCTGGTACAACTGCTGTTGAGGCGTGCAGCACAGGATCAACATGTCACGCTCCATGTTGACAACAGCAACAATTTGGTGGTATTCGAGTAAGAGAGAGATAGAGTGAGAGAGAGAGAGAGAGAGAGAGAGAGAGAGAGAGAGAGAGAGAGAGAGAGAGAGAGAGTTTTCAGCAGGAGGGAAGACAAAAATCAGTTTGCATGTAATCAAATATCTTAGTGTATCTACAGCGGGGCTGCTGGCAGTCATCATCAAGGACAAGGGGGAATATGAGCAGCGACCTTGCGAGGTGACTCACCCGACAGTGGCATAAAATAGAAAAAAGGAAAATTTTAAAAATGTCATCTCTTCCATAGACTTCTAGCTAGCTTCGGCAGCAGATTCCGGTGCTTTCGCTTCTGCTTCCTCTCCATCACCATTTCTCGTCACTGCTGCTGTTGCAGTACCATTTTCTGCAGCTACTTCTGCGTTTGCTTGACTGGCACTGACGTCAACATTATCGTTCTCTGTTCTTTGAGCTTCCTCCGATAATACACCTTGCTGATGGCAATTTGCACCTGCTGATGCATCGCCCTCACCGTCTTCCTCATCCTCGGGCACAACACCCTGAGAGGAACACAGTCATATCGCGCGCGCGCACGCGCACACACACACACAATGGCCATTGGCAAAGCAATGACACTGTACTGTACAAGCAATGCTAACGTTAGACAGAGCAACTGGTGCCAGGGATACAACTAGGGGTGAAACGGTTACATGTTTTTTCGTGTTTGGGCACCCTAATGCCAGGATAGTTTTACACGGTTCGGGTATCGGTTCAATGCACTCTTTTCTCCTGACCGACAAAATGCGTTTGTGACAACTATTTTTTAGAAAACATTTTTACGGCCAAGAAGTGAGACATGAGAGAGTCCATGGGCGAAGAAGATAATACCTAGGAGAACCATTTGGAAGAGTGGTGACCGTAAGAGTAGACTTGACTTCAGTAGACTTGACGAGTACATGTATTTGTACGAGAATGAGATTTTTCGAGTTTCGGTTCGAAATTTGACGGAACGGGTACCCGATTCTTTTCAGATTGCGGCTCCAAAACCGGCTCCTTACCCGAACCGTTTCACCCCTAGTTACAACACATTACAGCTTGGCAGGCCGACCTATTAAACATAACTACTTTAGCATAGTACCAAGAGTAGATAAACAAGAGTGTGCAACTCCGGGATGGGTTGGCCCGCGGCGGAATTTTTTGTTGACGTAATCTTTTCGACGATGCACGCGCTGCGAGCCTTATGGAAAGTTTTGCCTCGTGCACTTGGCCGGGCTTTACATTACAAAGTCGGTGCCCAGCACGTGCTCTCACACTGCTCTGGGGCAAAATGCGCGTTCTTCTGAAAAAAGGTGACGTCAACAAAAAATTCCGCTGCAGGCGGAGATATGTGCAGAAGAGATCCGGAGTTGCACACTCTTGTTTATCTACTCTTGATAGTACCAAGAGTACATAACCCCCCAAGAGTGTGCAACTCCCACATACCCTGCTGTCCCGACGGAATTTCAAGTTGACGTCATTTTTATGATGCACTGCGCACTGTACACGGATTATCAGACGAATCCGTAACCTGTGGTGGACCAAAGCCCATCTGATCCTGCACAAATTATTGCAAAGAAAAACGTGTGATGCGTTGACACCCGTACACATGTTGCAAATCACTGGTGCAAGGAGCATTGCATCATAAAATAATGACGTCAACTTGAAATTCTGTCGGGAAAGCAGGGTATATGAGAGTTGCACACTCTTGGGGGGTTATGTACTCTTGATAGTACCAAGAGTATAATTAGGCCAAAACAAAAAATAGGCTTGTTTCCGGTCGGCAACCCCTCAAAAAGGAACTCGGTCGGCCGGAATGAAACTTTTTTTGGATACTTTTTTTGGTTCCTCAATCGTTGTGGTATTGATGGACAAGAGCACCTACACAATGTACATTGTGCATATATCATGGCAAGGGTCAATGTCAAAGTTGACTGACTCACTGTTCTTGTACAGCATGTGGTGTATTCCTGTTTTCGTACATCCTGAGAAATCAAGCAAACAGCTCGAGTCCTTCCAGCTTCGTTATTCTAGCTCGTATCGGCCCCGGAGGTTTTCGAGCCGACAGCTGAGAATCTCTGCTACCTTGTAGGTGTTTCGATTGTGGAATTCGGTTGAGATTTGACTGAGTTGTGACTCGTTGAGTGCACTTGCACACATGGCATTGCCACCATTTGTATACATTTGGGACCAAAAAAAGTCTCAGAATATGGGAAAAATTGGCCCGGTCGGGCGACCGGAAACAAGGTCATTATTTGTTTTGGCCTTATGATCTCCCAAGAGTGTGCAAATCTGCATACGGGGTCTCCGACGGCGAAAACTCACATCACGTGTCTCAGGAACGTTCGTACAAGCAAAGGATAGCGTGCGCGCAATCCAAATATCTGCCATGATCATGCCGCAGATTAGCATATGCGCAATGAGTTTCTGTCAGAGATTGCTTGCTTTTTTTATTCATCCGCTGCTCGCTAAAAACGGGTTGTAAATGTACAACTGCAACACTACACCAAGTGCTGTGAGCTCTCGCCGTCGGCGTACCCCATAGAAAGGATATCAGGAGTTACACACTCTTGGGAGCTTATAATCTTGATAGTACTGCACCACACAGCACACACGGTTACTTGCACACATACCTGCTCACTGTTAGAGACTGTTCATGTGGGTAACTAGCTATTGACCCAGTCCAAACCGTAGAGTATGCAGAGATGCTGCTCCCACAAGGTGCATGCCAGTAGCAATATTGCCTACACAAACACAGCTTTCCGACCTGGGCAATATTCTTGCTGTCCTTGACTCAAACATGAACGTCATCCAGACAGCCAACAGTGCTCGTGTGTGGTACGTGGATACATGTACTTGATGGTACGGGTGTCGTCGGGTAGTCTGAAGAGGGCCTAAGGTACAAACAGCCTATAAGTCACATTTACATAGAACTTTCCAAGACTATTACAAGAATCTGACGGGAAAACTAGAAAGCTGCCCAATCCTTTCAGGGAGGATGCGGACCCTTGTACAAGGCAACTTTCCTGCATTTATGGTACTTTCACCAGGCAGTCGTACAAGGGTACAAACTTTGTACGCTTGCTTGCTGCTTAAACGAATCTCCTTGCGCGCCGGCCACAGGGCCTAGGGTCAACGGTTACCTGTATGTTGCATGTAAAATGTAGTCTGAATTCAGTCTTGGAAAAAAGGTGCCTTTTAGGGTTTATGTGATGTTGCACTGGATGTTCTATGTACTGTAGTGGACATGGAAATCCAGTCGATTGACCGGGGCCGGCGCCCTCAGCGCGTACAGAATGCTGCGTGCAGGGCACATGTTGATCCAATGCAACTAGTGCGCTGCAGTGCATAAAATGCATGTGTGTACCGCTTATCCACGGCTGCATGGCCGGCACCCTGGGCGTGCGACCGGATTTCCATATCCACAACAGTACGTAGTCTGTAGAGGGCCTCGCTGTGCACTTTTCTTTGTGGCACAAGTGCACACTCACTGTACAAATGCCGTGTAACAATCCCGCTCGTGCAATGCCGTGTAACAGTGTGCACGTGACTATGTCAAAAAATACCCGACAGGGTACCCGTGCTACCCGGATAGAAATACGCGAACTCGTTACCCGATCAAACCCCTGCCCGTTGCAGCCCCGCTTGATTGCCATGTCAGCACGTTACAGAAAATCAACGAATTTTGACAGCAAGCTCAGTTCATCTAATTTCAGGCTGATGTTCCATAAATAAACTCTGCGGTTCGTGCGAGACTCAGTCAGACTGAACTTTCCCTACCCGCAAGAACGCCGTCACCCTCAAGGACAAAGGCGCAGATGCAGCTCCTACGCCAGTGGGAGGTGACTAGATCAGCCCCATGACAAAGTGCAAGTTTAGTGAAACCCTGCCGAGTTCACGCGGCCACAGACTCGCAGTGCATGCCTCGTATGGTTTGACTCATGATCTCCAGAAAAGGTGACGTCAACAAAAAAATTCCGCTGTGGGCCAAACCATCCAGAGTTGCACACGCTTCTTTATATACTCTTGGTGTGACACACAGACACGCACCAACACACATACTGACAGTTCGAGCATACCTTCTCAATTTTTTCATCGAGCATCTTGAAGAATTCTAATTGTGATGATGTCACAGCCCTGAACAATGAACAAAGGAAAGAACAAACACCATATTAACCTTTTGAGGACCATAGCACGGATACCGTAAAGTCGCGGATAAAAGCCGGGTTTGCATACAAGCACATCGCGGATAGAAGCCTGAAAATCAAACGGGTCAAATGCATATAACTATTATAAGCCTGTCGCGCGTAGAAGCCTGGCTTCTATGCAAGCGCGGATCGGGTAGGCCAAGAGTGCATGCGCTATGTACAGTGCATAGTAAAACTGCCGCCATACCGGTAGTCAGTGGTAGATCTACGTGTGTCGCGCGTAGAAGCCTGGCTTCTATGCAAGCCCGGATCGGCTGATGTGCATACAAGCCTGGCCAAAATATCAGTGGTGCATATAAGCATGTTTTGCATACAAGCCTGGTTTGCATTGAAGCCTGATGCAGAAAGCGGCTTATGTGCTTATAAGCCCGGCTTTTATCCGCGACTTTACGGTATATCCGTACCAGTGTACAGTGCATACTTTTCAAAACGCAACCTGGCGTAACTCGACCGTACCTTGACCAAATCGGACAATCAAAACGTCTATCAACATTAGAATTGTCTCAGCTATCGGCTCGAAAAAAGCCGAAGGCGATCCGAGGTCGGAGACCGGAGTTATGAGACTCGAACTAAATTCGCTCAGCACAGCAACTCGGACGCATGCATTTCGAACTCGTTTTTGGGGGTTTCCCCGGACTCGCGGCCCACGCAGCCACAGATAGTTCACGTCATCGTAAAGGCATGTTATTCAGCTCTCATCAACGATACATTGCTGGCTATCGCTGTGTTCCTCTGGCCAAGAGCTTTCCAGAAAGCTCAAGATCACCAAAGTTACGACCAGATAAGTAACTGCAGGGCGCGAAATAACGGTCGGACATCGGACAATTTCCGACCGTTTACGGTCAGTTTCCGGATGTTTTGTACACATTCGGACAAAGTGTCCGCACACTTTTTTTACAAAGTACAAAAAAGAAAAGGCACGTCAATCCTTTGTCTCATAGTCGCTAGTGATGTCGTCTGGCAAGAGGAAGCCAAGCACGGCTGACTCCGGGTGCTCAGCTTGGAAAGAAGCCCAGAGCAGTCAAGACGACCACTTGTTACAAGTGGGTTGCTGAGTATGATAGGGAGCTTTCAATTTACTTCTGTTTGGCTGAGCTATGAGTATGAGCGCAATCCCTCAGATCGTAGCGTTGTCGAAAATTTGAAGTGTAAGATGTGTTCCCGTTTTGCTGATAAAATTCGCAGTATCAAGAATTTTTCTGACTCCTTCGTCGTTGGCTCAAGGCACCTGAAAACATCAGCCTACAAAGATCATGCTGCTTCTGAAATGCATCGCCGTGCCATGGCATTGTTTGGCAAGGAGCTTAGTTGAAGTGGTGTCGAGTGGCGACTCGAGTGTTCCTTGATCTTGTTGCGATGGCTGCGGACGCCAGAGCTGTTCGCAGAGCACACGCGGCAGTCATTGTGTACAGCTAGCTCGAGCCTGGTGGGGAGTGGATGCTGAAGTAGCCGCTGAAGTTCAGAGTGAGGATGAGACGTTCTTTGGTTCCGACATCGATGTCGACAGCGAGGCGGAATCACAGCCATCATCTCCTGCTGCGTTGCGGCTCAAGGTGGTCGATGACTCGTCAGAGTCGGAAGATGAGGAGTCATCACCTGAGATAAATTCTGAGTCTGGGGCTAGTGACGGCAGCGACGTCGTGTCGTCAGCTGCGCAGGAAGAAATGGAAGACATTGCGGAACGACTCCACGCAGGATGCAGCTGCAAATAAGTCGATCATGTCCCCGCACTCTTCCGCTATTCTTTGTCATTCTAGCTGCTTACTGCACTATTTCAAAGGTATTTAGGCTGCCTACCCACCTTAGAATGCTGAATATTTATTGTACACATACATCGTATACATACATTGCACCAATTTGGAGTACACCTTGTATATTGGTGTATACACCCCTTTTGAATCGGAATTTTGAACTTTTTCTTGGCTAAGGTCCTTCAGTAGATGTGTTTCAACAAATTCCTAACCAAAAAGGAATTTTGAGAAAGTTGACCCTAAGGGCTGTTTTCGCTGGTTGAGGCCCACATACCCATTCGACCACTACATATAAATGATGTGCATCACACATAGCAAAAGCTGAAACTTGGGTCAACTTCTGCGACGGTGGCCCGCGACTGCATGCGACAGGCATTTTCTTTGTCGCATCGCAGAAAGGGATGTTGTGAATCGCCATTTAATGCACAGGTCCAGCTTGGAGTGTAGGGTTCTCTATATCAAATCGGGAGAGAACCTCCACACTAAAGGCTGGTCATGCGCAATAAGTATTAAACATGCAGAGTCGAAAGCTACATATACAGAGAGAGAGAGAGAGAGAGAGAGAGAGAGAGAGAGAGAGAGAGAGAGAGAGAGAGAGAGAGAGAGAGAGAGAGAGAGAGAGAGAGAGAGAGAGAGAGAAAGAAAGAGAGAGGAAAGAGAAAGAGAGAGCCAGAGAGTGAGTGTGTATGTGTATGTGTGTGTGAGAGAGAGAGAGAGAGAGAGAGAGAGAGAGAGAGAGAGAGAGAGAGAGAGAGAGAGAGAGAGAGAGAGAGAGAGAGAGAGAGAGAGAGAGAGAGAGAGAGAGAGAGAGAGAGAGAGACACACACACACACACACACACACACAGACAGAGACAACACAGAGAGACTGACAGACAGAGACAGAGAGAGATTTACTAGAAGCAAATTAACAGCACTGGGCCCCAAAAAGGTTTAAACTTACACGGCCTGTTTGCGAGGATCCTGCACACGGTCAAAGCGCAAAGGGAATATTCCATGAGAAAACAAGAGAAGAACAACCATTAGTGGATGCTAATCAGAACAAGAAACTTATCCAGTTAAGTATCAGATGAATATGATGAGGGCAACGAAAAAGTATTCTGATTTAATTTTGCAAGGTTTATTTTACAATCAGTGAGAGTGATTTTTCCGCAACCGCAAGAACGCTACCACCCTCAAGGACAAAGGTGCAGGTGCAGCTCCTTGTGCAGTGGGAGGTGAATAAATTACACCCATCACAAAGCAGTCAACGACCGAAAATTCCATTCTCAACACCCAGGTTATCCGTGTGCCGGACCACAACTTTCCAATCAACTGTGTGTCACAGCATGGTTGGAAAAAACCTTTCGCTCCCAAGCAGGACTTGAAACTGGTACTCTGCTTCTCTGGCATGGTCTTAGAGTAGATGTGAAACGAATATACCGGATATTCGTTTGGCTTGTCACATTCGACCGGATATTTTTCATGGCAAAGATTCGTTACTTCACATAGAATGCAGTGCGTGCACGCCAAGTATAATACAGTGCAGTGCGTACAACCCGCCCTGCGACTTCGTACTGCAGTGGACCCACAACACATGTGTGCACATACCGGTCTGCCAATGTTGCACAATATATGAACTTTGCAGTAGCCTTATGTAGCAGTACATTTTACGTGGCACTACCATTCCCCATGCCTAATATCAAGAGTATATAAGCTCCCAAGAGTGTGTAACTGCTGATACCTTCTCTATGGGGTTCAGCGGCGGCGAAAACTCGCATCACGTGGTGTAGTGCCCTAGTTGTATATTGCCCGTGCCCGTTTTTAGCGAGCAGCGGAGTAATAAAAAAGCACCCTCTGACAGAAACTCAACGCGCGTATGCGACTTGCCAGCATGATCATGGCAGATATTCAGATTGCGCGCACACTATCCTTAACCCTTTAAGAGCCACAGGAAAATTTCAAAATTCTGCATTTTTTCGTGTTCCTTGGATGATAGCTTCAGTTCTACACACACAATCCTCACAATCTAGGGCCTCCTGGAAAGGTCTCCGCGAAAAGAAGATGACGGGGTCGATCATGATAGCCAGTACACCGTCTATCCAGCGCTAGATCGCAGCGACAGTACGAAAAATGCCCCAAATAGGTCCAATTGCGTCCCGCTCCAGATATTTCATTTTACTCGATTGTGGAGTTCCAATTTTTTCGCTGTGCACTCTTGACAATATCAACAGAGAAATCCGTGCAAATTCGAGTAAACCAGCGTGACGAAAAGTCTCAAAATTCTCAATACTAAAGTCGCACTGCGCGCTTTTGAAATTGCTGCGATCGCGGCTCAACTTACGAGTGATTTATCTCAGGGACTGTTGCTCGCAGCGCTTCGCGGATTGTTTCTCCCGACAGGTGAGAGTTTTCTCTTCGCCCTGGATATTTCGATCACTGTATTTGAGCGAGATTGGACTGAGATACGATTTTTTGAAGTTTTGCATTCAAGTATGGGGCGGCTCTTAAAGGGTTAACGTGCCTGAGACATGGGATGTGAGCTTTCGCTGTGTTAACGAAAGAATATTCGGCAACTGGGTTTTGATAATCGTTTCACCATTATCTTAGACCATCCTGCTATGAATGAATGCTACAAGGTTGAAGTACAAACCCTCCACAACAAGCATCATGTTATCGCCCCCAAGTGACAATCCCAGCAGAAACGTTGCAATGCAGAATTCCACTCCCGCCTAATACAAAGCCCACACCGATGCTTGAAGGTGGCAGTGAGGAGGCAGTGTGGCACTGACAACAGTCCATACTGTCGATTGTCCCACGCCGCACAGACAAACACAAGATAGAGCACACTTGCAGCAGCTAATAAACTCACCAGAATCTCCCGGTGTGGTGCAGGTGGCAACGTGCTGCCTTCGACTGACTTTCGGCGCGGCTGCTGCTGAAGTACTGGTCGATTGTCGACGGGAACTTCGACACCATCCGGACCCACAGTCATTTCTGGACCGGCTTGAAAGGAGCCTGAGTACAAGAACGTCAGTAAGATCATAACAGAGAAAGTCAGAAAGAATAGCACACTATCAACGAACACACTAGCTACAATAAGCTACACCATACAGATAGGATAAAAACAGCTGATATGACTTGACTATGATTATGGAAACATTTCGACTTCGTTGATGCTTGGTGATGACTGCAGAGCTAATTCGATTTATTGTTATTGTAAAATGACTTGCATCGGAATAAATGTCCTTCAAGTATCAGTGTAGACATCTCAGTTTGAGACACAATGACTCTCTATCGACAGGTTTCGGGACAAGCCACATCGCATACAACCGTTGTACAAGCCATACGAGTTGAGATCAGTACGCAACCACATGAACACCAGAGGCCAGCAATGGTAGCTCATGTTTCTACAGTACTCGGTTGCATGAAAGAGTCCATAACCCCTAGAGCATGCACCTGTACATCTCTTTCGTTATGTACTTTTGCTTGGACACAACTTTCTGCAACAGAACATTGCCCTGAAAAACGGGTGTTGCAAAAGGTTGCATGTGGCTTGGCAATCTATCTACTGTAAGCCAATAAATATTCGGCGCATATTTATTTTCGGCCTGGTCATGTTTGGCCGAAAATTTGCTGCGACCGAAATTTTGTTTTGCAATGTTCAGTGTGACAGTGTAGACAGGCGGTAGCAGTACAGGCCGAACATTAAATTTTGATACGGCCAAAATGGGTTTTAGCCCTGGGAGGCCGAAAATTAGTAGACTTGCAGTATGTGCTATCCAAACACACACGCACACACACACAAACACACGTGCACGTACAAACACACACATGCGCGCACGCACACACACAAACGCACGCACAGGAGCCGATCTCGATGCAGAAAACAGCTACAGATTTCCTATTTTGGCACTTCTACGCTATGCTAATTAGACAATAGCAAACAATATGATTGGGGAGTCCTGTTGCTGCCTCTGTTACCATTGTGCAACTGCAATGGCATAGTGATTTTCAGTAGCAGTGGGGCAGGTGAGATACAGGCACTCAGCGGAAATGCACCTGACACAATTCCGGACTAGTGCTCACACGCTCAAGCAGAGGCGTACACACGCCACTGATACTAGCTATCCATATCGACTCCACACATCCCGTACTGGAGTGCGTATGCTATTGTTGAGTATCAACAGACTACACAGATATTGGTAGTATTTGGCAAGCAGTGAACGGCAAAACCATCACCCTGTGGTGCACTGGGAGTCCTAGAGTGGGGCACTTGATGGAGAAAGTGGCCCGGCTGCTTCTCCCAACACAGTGGAGAACAGATGCCACCAGCTTCAGGATAAAGTCAGAAGATGATGACAGTAGCTGCAGCAGCAGACCAGGTCATCTGTTGCACTACTATGGCTAGATGTACTAGTACTACCCAAATGCACTGCCTGCCCAATACTGCCTATTTAGATTACGAGTACTAGTACAGTAGGTAGAGGTCGCCAGGAAATAATTAGGAAAAAAAGGATGTACTGTACTAAGCTAAGGTAGCAATTAGTACTAATACATGATACATAGTGCAAGGTGCAAGGGTGGCTCAGACTGATACTGTATGTACCGGTAGTCGATGTGTGCCTTGTTTACTCGATTCTCATGCTCTCTCTGCTGAAGTTCGTCATTACTTGTTTCAAAAGTTCGCACCAGTTTAGTCTGTGTAGCCCAGGGCTTCGTTCGACAAACATGCACAAAACAAACACTCGTAATCGTCGTATAGCAGAGATGGCACAATAACGCACTGCAGTTGACTAGGGCCACAAGAGTTTCATACCAAACGTATGACATTCAATGCTGACTTACTTTTTCTGGTATTTCCTCGTTGTTGCTCACTGCCGGCCTTGGAAACACACTGGCCCATTCCCTTGGATCGTTTAGCTGACCTGCTTTGGCTCCAGGAGCCGATCAGCTTTTTCCACAGCGACTCAATGGCTGTGCACAAGTGAAGAGAAGCAAACACAAGTACATGTACCAACAAATAAAATTAGAAGACGAATCAACACACATTTCGAGTTCAGTGGAGTTGTCTTGAATACAACAAACTAGCTGCTTCGACAAATCGCCTGGCACCAAATGACACGTGAAGCAAGAATAGATCGGAAGAGACGTGTAAATGAAAACGGTGACAAGTCATCATAACCAGTATTCCCTCTCATTGACAAAAATGAAATCCACCTTGGACAGGCTAGAAAGCAGCCCAGAGTGTCGCGGAGATCACCAGCGATGGTTTGCTTTTGGAATACACAGCCCAGCCTCTGGCAGGCAGCAATTACTAGTTCCTCATCTGCACAACTTCAACGAATCTCGTGACTTTTCCTTCACAAGAACTGCACCACAAACAAAGGTGACATTTTCACTGAGTACAGTTTCGTACAACAAACGGGAATGCAAAAGAGCACACGAATATGCAACACTGGCGATCTGCCAGAGGGTTTCACATTGGACCATCAACGATCCATGTACATCTTAACTACACTCACACACGCTCCTCTGCTCACCTCTAATGTAGCTTCCGACCAAACGTCCTGGTAGCAGCACCGACGTGCTGGACTGGCTTTATCCAGAAATTCAAGCTCGGAAAGAGCCTGCGCCCAGAGATATACTACCAGCAACCAGCCAGCGCTGTTGAAATCACTGCTCCAAATAATTACTATCGTCAAGTCAACTTGTTTCCATATGACAAGAAGAACAAGAGTCACTCAACAAATCCACAAGATCAAACAAATGGGAGAAGCTCTGTTGCTGAAAGGATGCCTGCAAATGCGATGGGCATTGAGGGACAAGCTCCCAAACAGACTACTAGTACTACTGAGTCCTCCTCCACCGCGCTTGAGCCACGGGTCTTGGAGTTCCCTTCTCCCTGTAGGCTGCAGCTACACTGGAAACTAGTGACTGGTTTGCACTGAGCAAGCCGACATCAGCTCGTCGGATGGACAGGCGCTCTCCTTGCTGCACTGCCCTCCATAGAAATTTTGCTTGTCGCTTTTTTGTCTTGTGTGTGTGTGTGTGTGTGTGTGTGTGTGTGCATGTGTACGTCTGTGTGTGCGCCGCCCCGTAATTTTTGGCGTCACCAGTGCAGTGAGTTACCACCATCTACCGGTATGCTCACTGACTGACATGCAGTGCAAGTGCAGTGGTGCCATTGTGAGCTGTTTCAGTGATTGCAGTGGCAAGCATAGACCGCCAGTACAGTGCCAGTGGCATGTGCACTGCACACACACACCCGTGACCCCAGCCAGGCCCACACACACGTCGACACACACTGCCACAGTGCAGTGCCAGTCACTGGACTCATCCTGACCTTGCTGCTTGCAGCTTGCGCCTGTACAAAAAAGGCATGGCACAGAGAGTCCACCACGGGAATCTACTCAATGGATTTCCTGTCCCTCCAGGAAATCGCGATTCCACGGATGCAACAAATTTCGCGATTTTCGCCCAAACCCGCGATTTTCAGGAAAATCCGCGATTTCCCACGTTTTTTGTTGTTTTCTGCACTATATCTCACTTTTTTATGCACTTTTCACGCAGTGCTTTCCATGATCCTGTAGGTTATTTGCACAGTACGACTCGTACTACTCCTAAGTAGATATACGATGCAACAAATGTCGTGGTTTGGCCCAAATCCGCAATTTTCTGCAAATAATTCCGCGAATTCCTGGCAAGTTCCGCATCATTCCGCACTTTTCGTCGCATTTTTTGTTGTTTTCTGCCGCAATTTCTTGCGCAAGTTTTCGAGAGTTTTTTCCGCAAATTCCCGCAGGGACAGGATTTCGACCAGGGACTCGTCTACTCAGGGAGTATGGCGGATTTCGACCAGGGAGTATGACCCTACAAAGTAGTCTACTTTAGATTTCGACCAGGGAGTACTAACAAATCGGTATTTTAGTACTCCCTAGGCCTTTCCCTGAGGCTGTAGAGTCGACATGTCGGCTCGTGCACAGCGGTAAGCGGATTATGCTCCGAAAAATGACCAGATTAGGCCAAGTAAAAAAAAAAGCTAGATGATCGTCCCCGTCCGCCCCAGTTTTTGTCAGCGCCCCAAGAAATATTTTATTTTTTAAATCGTGAGTTTTTGCCGAAATCGTTGGTTTTTTACCGATCGCGGATGCAGGAAACATGTGCACGCGTTTTCCGTGACGAACTTACTTTGTCAAAAGTAAATTGTTGGTAGTTGCTTCGCGATGTCGAAGTTCTTGACTGTGTTCCAGCTTGACGCAGATCTGTAGAGTGAGTTGTTGTCCTCTGTTTCGAATCATCTGGTGCTGTCGAAAAGAAAAAAAAAGAAAAAAAGAGAAAAAAACCTTGATGTTGTTGTGTACACTGTGTGCATGAGAGGGTAAAAAGTAAAAAAATAAAAATAAAATCCTCCCGCCCTCCCCGATTTTTCCAAAAAAAAGGACGATCATCTAGTAATTTTTTTTACTCGGCCTTATGCTCAAGCGGATGATCGCAGGATGCTCGAGAAAACAGCACTCCGATATGATAATTATGCTTTTACATGTACTGGTATAATGTATTATGCTTCACCAAAAAGGCCAAAAGACTGACAGATAATCGTCATGAAAAAAGGAAAAGGGTTTGCTCCCCACACCAGAGCTCGCGCCATTCCGCCGACTTTACTTGACACTTGACTGACTCACGACTGCCATCCAGAGCACACGAGAAGTTCATCGAACCTTCGACTCGGCAAACCGTTGAGAGAGCACCACTCCCTGCTCAATACACAGTGTTTCGGGGAATTCACCCCTCATCAGTTGAGCTTGAGTAGGCTGAGGAAGATTGTGCAGTGAAGAGCACCACTTATAATATTATAAATAATTATAATGCTCTCCATGCACAAACATCACCAGGGATACAAACTTACAGAGACGCTCCGTTTCCAGCGCGACAAACACCTCGTGAACACCAGATAGCAGCGTGAGTCAATAGACATCCTTAGGGACCATCGCAAAAGTTCAGGGCTAGTACTTGTACAGAAACACGTGGGCGCCATCTTGGTTCACGTGACATGTGTCACACCATGCTGTGTACAGGGAATCTTGCCGTACTTCGCGTCGACTCTGGCCTGTTCAAATCCACGCAAGTGAGCCACAGTTCTCTCTAGCAGGCTGAGATTTTGCAGGCACCGAGTTCAGATGTGGGCAAAGGGATTCACCGAAGGATTTTTTGATTTTCGCAATTTAGACTTCAAATAACACCCTCAAACTCGGCAAACGTGTCCCACCTCTAGGATCGTTTTGGCGAAATTCGCTTCGGTGAAAGTATGGAGCATGTTCTACTGAAAATTTTGAGCCATCGATTGTCAAAATCGGCTGATGTGGAGCTCACTTGTGTCGTTTTGAAGGACGCCGCGCCACGCGACTTGCGCTGGTTCTTTCACAAACGGAAGACACCAGTCAGAACTGCAGACTGTGACAGTGCAGTGCGCACGGCAAGGAAAAGAAGGAGACGTGCATTTTCCATTTGTTGCACTGTGTCCTTTGCTTTTATTGTTCACTGATACCATGTTCGCAAAATCTTGAGCTAGAGAGAAGACTGACTTACAATCTTATTCATCTAGGCTTCAGCGTGATGCACGTATTCCAGACCATAGGAAATATTGGGAAAGGAACCGGGAACCACGAGAATAATTTTTCTGGAGCGAATCCAATTATTACCATGGTTCCTTGTTCTTGAACACCGCGCTCCACCACATCGTCAATGTTTCTGCGAGGTAAGGATTTCAGGACTACTGTCGGTTTGTTCGACCTCGGGGCGATCTGATCTACGTCCAGCTGGCCATGATACTGAGCCGAACTGGCCACTAGTTCGCTTCTTTCTCGACTCGGGATAATCAAGCCGGTCAGAGTGCGATTTCCTACCCTGGATGCGATCCATGGTGCGGACTGAAAATAACTACTGAACACCTCCTTGTACAAGCACTGACATACAAGACCGGTGGTGGATACAAACTGACCACAGGAAACCCTAACAGCACCCGCTCTGTCAAAGAAAGTCGAAGGGAAGCAGTTCGAACTAGTTCAAGCACCACCAAAAAATAATAAAAACTAGCACTTGCTCTTGCAGCTAGGTCAAAGATCTGTACTGGCAAGTACACTTTTGCGCAGTCGCGACCTCGCGGCCCCGCATCACGTGCGGGTATCTGATGACGTAGCGTGATTCAAGATGGCCTCTGACGTGTTCCCGTTTTGTGATCCCAAATACCAGCCCTGAAGTTCGCAGAAGCCCCCGAAACGAAGACCGTGAGTTTCGGGCCTGACCCCCCCCCCCTCCCTCCCCCCTCAAACGAAACGACAGTCACAATATGGGCTTCATTTTTTCACTTGGATGCTCACACATAATAATTATTATAATAATACTACACAAGCATTGTTGTATCAGTGTGTAACAATGTACAGCACTTTATAAATGCAACGATGATATCACCTTGCAGTGGGTGATCTAAGAACGAGAACAGCTAGAGCTATGCAGTTGTATCCTTTGAGCATTACAATGAACGTTGATTGGTGTATATTGCTTTCACATTCAAGCGATCTACGCCGGCTGTGATGGCATGCTAATCCTACAGCTCCTATAATTATGTCGTCAATACTTTTTTGAATTGAAGCCCGGTTTGCGATTTTCGCACCGACTCCCTCCCCCCCAAACGTATGCTCTTCGTTTCAGGGGCTTCTGCGAACTTTTGCGATGGTCCCTTACGACCTTAGCAAAAGTACGATAACGCTAACTTTTACGGTACTCACTCCCAGCCGTGACAAAAGACGTTATCGGATAACGGAAAAACGTTACAGAGCTCAAATAACGGGCCGGCCGACGTTCGTTATGGAAATTCTGCAAAAAATGCAAAAACTCGCATTGTTTTGTAACTGGCGGGAGATAAAAAGCACGTCGTGCAGATCGAGATGAGATCGAGAGTCGAGATTGCTTCCTCTTGTGACATTTAGCTTTTTTGGCGAGTGTTGCCTTTCAGTTGACAATTTCTGCGTTTTCTGCTTCGTGCCTTTCTCCCTCTATCCCATCTGGGAAACAAAGGACCAGTTCCACGGCACTCCTGAGGAAGAAATTCATCAGCCTCTCCCAGACGTGCTGGAGCTGGAGAACCCTTACAGTCTTCGGTGCTGCGTTTAGGAAAGGGTTTCCAAGGACCTGGGAACAGCGAAAACTCATTTTCGCCGTGCTTTTGCTATTCCAGAGTAAAAGACCTCGCCAAGGTATTCTTTCGGAACGACAGCAAACTAATCCCTGGTTCAAAATTTTGAATTTCCCGCAGCTGTTTCCACGAAAATTCATATCGCCATGGTTGTCACGACTACTTCGTCTCAACTATAACGTACTTTGTGCTAAGGGAAAAGTCAGCTTGAACGATCCGAAGTACGGAAAGGTTTGCGTTTACGTTAGCGTTTTTTTAGCTAAGGATATCTATTGTCGCTCCTGGACGGTGAGACAGACGTCGAGGACCCTCGGTCATTCGCAACGCTGTCACCTCCAAACCAACTAGTCGCAAGCCCGCGCTGGGCACAACAGTACGAAGTAGTGGTTGCGACTTCGGCGATGATTTGTAAGAAAAGGGTTTGCTCCCCGGCCCACACCGGAACTCGCGAACTGTACCGTAATAGGAGTGAAAGGAGATTGTCAAATGAAGGGTCCAATAGGGTAGCAGTGGAGATTGGCTACTCAGGAAGTATCCACATACCTAGCCCTTGGCGGATTACGCTCGGTAAATTGCTGAATTATGCCTTCCATTATCATTGTCTGGAATTATCATTGTCCAAATTATGGCAGTGAGTATGCTACATTATCAGTGCTGGAATTATGCCAATAATGGTGCTATACTATGCTGCGGTCCAATCTAATGGTACGGTGAAGTCAGTACAAACAGCCCTTGGCGGATTATGTTCGGTAAATTGCTGAATTATTCTTTCCAATATGCCAGTGATTATGCTACATTATGCTGGAATTATGCCAATGATGGTGTACCCTTGCA